TTTTACCCAACAAATGGGGGACATGTGAAACTTACATACACAACTTGGGCAGTCAAACCCTTACCAAACTGGGGGGACTTGTCCCTTTACACAACAATTTGGGGGGACATTGTAACCTTAAAAAAAAATGTGGGACATTTTAAACCCTTTAACGAAAAAGGGGGGACATGTGAAACCCTTACACACTAATGGGGAAGTCTGCCTCAACAAAACTGGGGGGCATGGTAACCTTTACCACATAATGTGGGACTGTGTAACCTTTCCTACACAACTGGGGGCATGGGGAACCCACACACAAACTGGGGGAAATGTCTAGCCTTACAAAAAAAAGGTGGCACGTACAGCTCCGCCAATTTGCTGTCACGCTGCTTGATCCCTTTTGAGTCCCTCCTGCGAAAAACGTTTGTGTTGAGCAACTCCAGGCCGCCCCCCTAAATGTGGAATTCGTGGACTGCTGCGCTGTTTCCCGGTGTTTGCTCATTGGAGCAATCTAAAAGACAACAAAGCATTCATTTTGTCAGAATTATGCTCCTGGGTTGGTTAGAAAGTCGCACTGCGCCACTTAGGTAGGCAGCAAATGCTGTCCACACACACAAAGGATTGAGGCTGCTCACTTAAACAAGTCTTATCTTATTGGTTACACCTGCATTTGTGTGAAATTACTGCCACATGACATTCTCATGTAGAGGTCTGTATTAATAAACATCACAGTTACAAATCAGGACTAGTGGCCAGATGTTCCCATATCTTCCAAGTTGATGCTTCCTGCACAATATTTGCAGCATGCAGACTTGCATATTGCATTTGATAGGTTATTTATAGAAATTTCAGATGTTCTAAAATCATCATCTTTTTCCAGTTCTTAGTGAATGTTTTCAATATCAGTGCAATAAATTGTTAGGGACATGGTTGATGATGAATAAAATTAGCTATAGGGGAGCTCGAAGATCTGGAACAGTGGCATTTGGTATATGGCGTGGAAAAGAACAGTCTATATCCCTCTCCCAAAGAAAGGAAATCCAAAACTTTGCTCCAACTATAGCACCATTGCATTAAAAAGTCATGCTAGCAAAATCCTCTTACGAATTATCATGAAAAGGATTGAAAGGAAATTACAATATGAACTAGATGAAGCACAAGCGGGTTTCAGACAAGGTAGAGGAACTAGGGATCACATATTTAAAATGAAAATAATTTTTGGAAAATGCAGAGAATACAATGTAGATCTTCATGCTTGTTTTATTGATTATAGCAAGGCATTTGATTGTGTCCAGCACCACCAACTGTGGACTATTATGAAAAGTATGGGGTTTCCAGCGCATTTAGTGCAATTAGTTGAAAATCTCTATCATGAACAACAAGCAGCCATCAGAGCAGCTGGTGAAACATCTGATTGGTTCGAGGTGCAAAAGGGGGTGAGGCAGGGGTGCATTCTCTCACCATACCTATTCAATATATACACAGAAAATATAATGAGAAATGTCAAAAATGACCAGACTTGTGACAGTTATGATCCGCTCAAAATTGGTGGCAACTCTATTCCGGAACTCTGCTACGCAGATGACACAGTCCTCCCTTCGAACAGCGTAAAGGGAATAGAAAATTTAATATTGTCCGTTCAAAAGCACAGTGAAGATCAAAATCTGTTCTTGAATTTAAAGAAAACGAAAATAATGTCCACAGATAAAACTGGCTGTCACCAAAAAAAAAAAAAAAAAAAATAAATGATGAAGAAATTGAAAATGTCACAAACTTAAAAGGAGGATGGCCATAGCAATGCAAAGATTGAACAGCCTTAAAAGTCTGTGGTTAAGCACCAGCAAGGAAATAAAAATTAAGAGTTTTGAGAGCATGCATCTTCCCTGTGGCTACATACGGATGTGAGTCGTGGACTATCTCTCAGTCCTTAAGAAAGAGAATAGGGGCTTTTGAGCTGAAAGGCTATAGAAAGATTCTCAGAATATTGTGGACAAAGAAGATGAGAAATATTGACATCTTAAAAGATCTGAACATCAAGGAAGATTGGCTAATAAACAGCATCCTTTCTCGAAAGCTGAAATATTTTGGTCATATGAAGCGCCACGACGGATTGATAAAAAATTATAGCAGAAGGCATGGTACCAGGAAGGAGAGGCAGAGGCCGACCGACACGAAGATGGGCACAGGATATAAGTGACTCCTTGGTGTGAAAGTTCATGAGGCGGGAGAACTGGCGAGAGACCGAGTTTCTTACAGGCAGACCGTGATGAGAGCGACGTTCTGCAAAGGACCTGCTACATGATGATACGGGAGCACATTTTTTACGACTAATCAAATATTTCAACATGAAAAGCACACACAAAAATTGTGAATAAAGTGATCCCCCCCCCCCCAATTGTGTTAACTTGCCATGTTACAATAAGCGTCTGTGAATGCTTGATTATGAAAGCTCCTCTTGTTGAAGTCTGAGCTACTTCCTTCATTAACTGGAGTTGAAGCTGTAGCAGAAGCCCTGTCTTTATCAGGAATGTTGATAATCCTCAACTGTATGGTATAGCTTGAGCATGGTATCACGCATAGAGGTGTCTGGCTTCTTTTACCTGCAACCTTACAGTCTGGTCTGTACCTTGGCTTTCATATCTAGAGTAAAAATGGCGCTCAGGTGTTTGCTGTGACCTTATACACAGAGTTGACAGTGTTGTAGCTTATATGCTCATTGATCAGAGCAGTGTCAACTAAAAATAAATAAATAATATGATAGCAGGCATCAATTATAGGATCGTGGTGGGCAGGGGTAGTTTGTATCCAGCTGGCTGAAGTGATCGACATGCACCATACTGTTGTATTTTTCTGCAAGACTTGGCTTATATATTATTCTGCTCTCAAGAATTCCATTTTTCCTAACTATCTATAACACCACCAAAGTAAAAACAGATATCCAGTCAACTCCCTTAGTGTCATGACAGGTAACGGTCAACTTGCCTCTATATTCTGGCGCACAAAACAGGACGATCTTACTTTTTCAGTTTAAAAAATTTTTTTTTTTTTAAATCAATCGGCTCACATCCAACTGTGCCTGACATGGCACCTTGTTGTTCTTTGTGTGGAGGAAGATTGTCAAGCTTAACTAACAAGTTCATTTTGAGCAGCCTTTCTGCCTTTACAAGCAGCATTTTCAGCTGTAGAAATGTTGTGGTCTCTTGTGCCACGCCAACATCTTTCTTCAGATGTACCTACATCACCTCCGTCATCAAGACTGTCATCATTGTTGCTACTTTCAGTTGCAATATGACGATTACATTTACAGGTGAATCAGGCATGATTAAAAAAAAAGGCTAAATATCCGCTGGTAAAAAAATGATTAAAATTTCCCTGAAAACAGTGCTTTTATCGGTATCGACCATGGGCACAGTCATCCTGAAATAATCAAAACACCCGGATGCAATTAAATTGAAAAACTATCAGTAGGGGCATTGGTCGGCAGACTACATGTCACAAATTTGACGATCGTCGAAGCTAGTCACCAGAGGATGTGGTCAGTAAAGTGTTAACCATTTGCGACCTACTGACTGACTTTCTCTTGTATCTTGACCGTTACAACTACTGGTTAGCATTTGTCTAGTTGTGTTATATCTTGACCGTTACAACTACTGGTTAGCATTTGTCTAGTTGTGTTATATCTTGACTGTTCTACTGGTTAGCATTTGTCTAGTTGTGTTATATCTTGACTGTCACTTGTACGGGTTAGCGTCTGTTTTCTGCTGTCATTAATTCAGCAAATATAAAAACGGAGAATGGGGGCAACAACCAACACATAAAGATACTCACCAATGTGAATAGAAACTGTCTGCTTCATGTCAGCCATCTTGGTGCTCAAGTCCTGCAGCAAGTCACATGAACTGTTGATGTGTGTGTCCATTTTATTCTGGAAATTTGCTGCCACATTTGTATTGTGTTGCTCAACATTGCACTTGCGGTCAATTTTGGCATGCAAGCCTCCCACATGAGCAACGCTTGTCTCGGCTGTAGTCAGTAACTGAAAAGAGGGAGTGTCAGGTGGGAATTACTGCACTCTAGCTTGTTCACAGATATAGTCACAGCAGAAACATCAACAGATGTGAGTGATTGCACTATCGCTTGTTTACATATAGTCACTATAAAAACATCAACGAATGTCACATTTAAAATAATAGTAACAATAATTGTGTGACAACTCCTGTATCTGTGACAATTAAAAAAAAAGGTACTACGTGTGACAACTTCCATGGTCCTGTTAAAAAAATATTACAGCACTCCTGTGTCTGCGACAAAAAAAAAAAAGCACTACGAGTCAACTTCCATGGTCCTGTGAAAAAAAAAGCACTTAGTGACAACTGCCACGTTTCTGTGACAATAAAGAAAGCACCATGTGTGACAACTGCCATGTGTCTGTGACAATAAAGAAAGCACCATGTGTGACAACTCCTGTGTCTGTGACAGTAAAAAAAAAAAAAAGCACTACGTGTGACAACTTCCGTGGTCCTGTGAAAACAAACAAAAGCACTTAGTGACAACTGCCATGTTTCTGTGACAATAAAGAAAGCACCATGTGTGACAACTGCCATGTGTCTGTGACAAATAACACTACGTGACAACTTTAATGTATGACTCCCAGTAGAAAAAGCTTGAATCAACTGTACAGACAAGAAACTAGTTGCGATGCCTAAAGCTGTGAAAATGTCAACAGTCAGAGAACACCAGTATATGTGAGTTTAAAAGAAATGACAATCTATATTATTGAAAAAGTCAATTGTTGTTGGTTGTAATAGCTAATTTTCAAATGTTCAAACAACGCTGTACTCGATTGCGCTTGTGTTTTTATGTAAGAGTTTCGCACAAACCATGAACTAAATAGCTACATCAATGACCGCATGGATTTTTGTTTCATTGCCAGCTCAGAGTTGTTTTTAGTTCCACTGGCGACTTTTGACTGCTGACCTCAGACCTCTGCATGAAGCTACACCCAAAGGTCTTTACTGATTACTATCGAAAATTTCACACAAGGTTGCATATTAATACACACATGTTTGTTTATTTAAGAGTGTTGCACAAGGCATGCAATACCTAGCTCCAGTGATAACCACATCAGCATTTTGGTTTTGTTTTCCAACGATCTGATTCATTTTTCTCTTTGCCGCGTTCACAGTGCAAGTTGTTATTTGCGCTGATATCTGACCTTTGACTGTTGACGTCAGAAATCTGCATGAAGCTGGTCGTTACGGTATCGAAGAATTATTGACACAGTGTATGAAAATGTTGAGATGTGGGCATTTCTTTGGTGGGGGAGAGAGTAGTTGGTGAATTTGGAAAAGGGGTGGGGTTATGACAGAAACTGTTAACTGAGAGTGGTTAATGTTCATTTTATTTTGGCATACACTGATACCTAGGCCAATTAAAAATTGCCAGGTGATGATTTTCAAATCCCACTGAGAGAAAAAAAAGAGTGGTAGGTCGATTATGGGAGGGGGAGGGGGGATGGCAGTCACTGTTAACTGAGAGAGCTTAAAACATGATTTTAACTGAGCTTAAAACATGATTTTAAAGTTGCTAAGGTTTTTTGAAACATTATTTTTATTTTAAAAACTTTCCTTGGCTTTTCTCATGTTATTATAATTTTTTTTTTTGGGCCAGTTTGTTTGGAAATTCAGTAGCAAGCTTCACTTTCAGCTGTTAAAAAGAAAAATAGCATATACACACAAAACTATCTTTTAGGTTCTAATACAATGTAAACCACCACTACGAAGACACATATGCTGCATGTTCTAGAGTTGACATTTCAGACTACCTGTATTTCTGCGCAGACAACAATTGTGATATTAACCATATTAAACATGTGATGTTCCATATTTGTTTCTTTAACATTTCGCAAGACTGAGCCACAGCAGAGCGTAGCGGGTTCTACCAGTAAAAAAAAAATTTTCTTTTAAAGAACTTATTTTTCTCTACAGCAAATCTCTAGATTCGAAGTGCACCCTTCTAATCGCTAATTGTGTGTCCAGTCTCTGCACCTTTCAGTAGGGTTGAGTATATTAACATGCGACAATTCTTATTGTTGATGTGTTCTAGAGGCCAGAATTGACAAAAATGAAGAGAAAAGGGTGCACACATCAGACAAACATACTGACAGCTGCACTCACCAAAACTATAGGGAAACACAAATGTCATTATAAAAATCTCAAACAGGTGAGCAAAATGAGCTTTATCAAAATATCAGGTAATGTTTAGTCAGATAAGAGAGTCATAACAGCCCTATTTGATCTAGACCTGACACCTGGAAATTACACACACACACTCACTGCTGGTGGGAAACACAACTGTATTCTATTTTAAGTGTTTATGCAGAAGTAAATCCTACATGACCATACTCCAATTGTTTTACAGATCCCGTACCTCTTGTGCCTGTGAGAAGAGAACATTTTTTAACCCGTAACTAGTGACCTCTTGTGCCTGTGAGAAGAGAACATTTTTAAACTAGTTTTTAACTACAGTCAATCACAGATACTGACCTTTTGTGCCTGTACACTGACCTCTTTGCCTGTAACTAGTTTTTAACTACAATCAATCACAGATACTGACCTCTTGTGCCTGTGAGAAGAGAACATTTTTTAACTAGTTTTTAACTACAATCAATCACAGATACTGACCTCTTGTGCCTGTGAGAAGAGAACATTTTTAAACTAGTTTTTAACTACAGTCAATCACAGATACTGACCTCTTGTGCCTGTGAGAAGAGAACATTTTTTAACTAGTTTTTAACTACAATCAATCACAGATACTGACCTCTTGTGCCTGAGAAAAGAGAATGGTTTCATTCTTCAGATGCTGGTTAACCAAAAACTGCTGCTCATTGCATTCTTGCTGAGTCAGCTTGAGCTCCTGGTTGATGTGGCCAAGATGTTCACTGGTCACTTTCAGGGTCTGCACAGTAGAGGTCAGTTTCTCACTGGTCTCTGTCAACTGCTGGTTGGTGGTGGTGAACAGTTCAGTCACCTGCAAACATGACAACCCAACACATGGATGTTAGAAGCTGCTCATCTTCATCAAAGGTTTAGCCATCATTAGAGAGTTCAAGGAAGACGACCCATGTCAGACAGCAGCAACCAACATCTCCAAGCACAAGGTTTTCAAGGTATTTTTGTCATTTTCAAGGTTGTTGTGCCGTGCATAAACTGTTTAATTTATGCACATATGCACGCACAATATTCTAGGATAGGAGCAAGTTTAACTCTTTCGCGGCTATGGACGTGTGTGTGTGTGTGTGTGTGTGTGTGTGTGTGTGTGTGTGTGTGTGTATATATACATACACATACACACACGTCCTCCCCGTAGACTGCTAAAGTCGTATTAATACAAGATCAAGTTTTTGTGTGTGCCCTCACCGCTAGGGACGTATCAATATGTCTTCGACTTTCTTCTTGCAGGTTGCTAAGAAAAGGCAATGCACATTACCTAAATCTGATCAAATTGACCCATTTACATACAATTAAAACCCTTATCACGTGAGTTTTAGTGTATTTAGATGCGTTCCACGTTATTCTGTTGCTTCGTTACCATAGAAAGGTAAAAGGTGTATTTTTTGCCCCTAAATATTATGTGTCTGGTTTAGACGAAGAGTTTTTTTTCAAGTGAGTTGGGTTATCTTCATGGCACACCAGCGGACATGTGTACTTCTGGCCATGCATAAAATTGACCATCTGACCCAGCCATCTACATCGACTGGATTGAAATGGATCCCAATGATCAAGAAGAAGATAGTCACGTACTAACAAGATGATTAAAATTAATGTTTCTTGTATGCTATACAACAAATATGAATGTGTTTATTAAAGTGTACAATACTGGTCTTATTTTCAGTTTCCATTTTTATATGAATTTCTAGTCTAGTTGGTATCACGCTTGCCTTACATTCGAAAAGTCCTGGGTTCAACCCCTACAAAACTGTAAATTTTAGCTCTTAGTAGTTTAGGCAACGCATCACCAAAATATATAATTATTTTTTTTTTTTAAATCCTGTCAGTGGTGGATTATGGCCTGGGACTGCTTATCGTCTCAAAGAGTCAAATGGACAAACTAGAGCGCATACAGAACGCGGCTATGCAGGTCATTCTGGGTTGCACCAGAGACACCCCAGTGGTGTGTATGCGATACATCCTTGGTTTGCCGACAGTTGCAAGTGGGCACAAGGTGATGCAGGCGAAGTCATATCTCAGGGTAGCTGCAGACACAGACCACCCTCTGCATGAAGCTCTGGGTGCAGTTAAGGGTCAGCGGCTGATAAGAGGGAGGTCATGGATGGCTCAGGCAGAAGACACAATCAGACAGGTTTGCATCCTTGAGAACATTAGGCGAGAAGAGGAGTGGGGCAAAGTGCCATCTGAGCAGCCAGACTTGTGTAGAGTCCTAATCACGCTGAGCCGGGAATGCAGAGACTGGCCAGCAGGTGCCACAGGGGTGGAAATTTAGCAATTAATTCAAGATAATGCTCACTCAGAGGATTTGATCATTCACACAGACGGTTCAGTGTCAAGAGGAAAAAGAAGTGCTTGGGGCTTTTTAGCAAAAGTTAATGGTCGACATTTGGTGCAGGAGAGCCTAGCATATGATACCACAACATCCAGCTTAAGAATGGAGGTGGAGGCGGTCACTGCAGCTTTCCGCTGGCTAGAGAACTCGACACACACACACATTGTAATTGTAACTGATTCAGAAAGCATGCTGAGGAAGATCGAACAGGTATACTTCGTGCAGAGTGGCATGCTTCGCTGCAGAGGACACGAGTGAGGAGTATTGTCGTGATTTATTCACCGGGCTACGCCGGTGTGTTGGGAAATGAACAGACGGACAGACTGGCTGGCTCTGCACAACTTGGTGGAATACTGCTACATGATAAGGCAGATGTGGTTAGTGCTTTGTGGGAGAGCGTGTACAATGCGGAGGAGCAGATGGATCACCAGTCTGGTGAGATTGATGCAGTTGGGAGTAACGAGAGTTTCTGGCAGAAGCTCAAGGCTCAGAGGAAAGGGAAGACGGACGTTTAATCAGAAAGCTACTGGCACCATTAGTATCGGAACTCTTCGCTGGCTGCTGAAGATGGCGACGGAGCGCTTATGGAAATGCCCCGAGTGCTGTAATGTCGGTTCTTGAATCAAATCAAATCAATCAAAAAATAAAATAACAAAAACAATAACACTAAAAAGGAAAATAATTATGACTAAAGTGGTAGATTTCTGATTTAAATCGTGGGGGGGGGGGGTGTTGTTGTAATAAGTGCAATTGTCAGTCGTGAGTCATGGCCTGGAGTGAAATGCTAGGATTCTCCCAGACCAGTTCTTTTGTACACCCCCCTTCCCCTCTCCCAGTGTGAGGGACTGTAGATTTGTTGGTCCAACTTAAAAAGTCTCAGGTGCCCTCAGGGCAATGACTAAACATATGGCAATGCTTGAGCAGACGACAAAGTAGAAGCAGGAAGAATAACAATTGTCTTGCAATATCCACCTGCAAGGAATGTAAAGATTGTTCCTGGTGACAACCAGAAGGCTACTGTTGTGTTCCTTCCGCTGTGAAGTTTCTATTACATATATGATAGCGGTAGAAACAAAGATAGACTTAGCCAAGGATACATTTTCTTTCCCTACAGTAATGTGGTAAAGCCAGGCAGGTTAAGTCTCATTTCTAGTGTTTCCTTTCTGTGAATGTGTTTCTTGGTGTCGCCATAGTGCCTCTGATTTGTGTGGCCATAGTGCGTCTGATTTGTGTGGCCATAGTGCCACTGATTTGTGTGGCCATAGTGCCTCTGATTTGTGTGGCCATAGTGCCTCTGATTTGTGTGGCCATAGTGCCTCTGATTTGTGTGGCCATAGTGCCTCTGATTTGTGTGGCCATAGTGCCTCTGATTTGTGTGGCCATAGTGCCTCTGATTTGTGTGGCCATAGTGCCTCTGATTTGTGTGGCCATAGTGCGTCTGATTTGTGTGGCCATAGTGCGTCTGATTTGTGTGGCCATAGTGCGTCTGATTTGTGTGGCCATAGTGCCTCTGATTTGTGTGGCCATAGTGCCTCTGATTTGTGTGGCCATAGTGCGTCTGATTTGTGTGGCCATAGTGCGTCTGATTTGTGTGGCCATAGTGCGTCTGATTTGTGTGGCCATAGTGCGTCTGATTTGTGTGGCCATAGTGCGTCTGATTTGTGTGGCCATAGTGCGTCTAATTTGTGTGGCCATAGTGCCTCTATACTCAAACACATACTGCAAACAATGAAAGCTCTATACTCAAACACATACTGCAAACAATGAAAGCTCTATACTCAAACACATACTGCAAACAATGAAAGCTCTATACTCAAACACATACTGCAAACAATGAAAGCTCTATACTCAAACTCATAATGCAAACAATGAAAGCTCTATACTCAAACACATACTGCAAACAATGAAAGCTCTATACTCAAACTCATAATGCAAACAATGAAAGCTCTATACTCAAACACATACTGCAAACAATGAAAGCTCTATACTCAAACTCATAATGCAAACAATGAAAGCTCTACAGATGCAAGTTCTATTAAAACAAACAAACAAATTTGAGCTCTATCCAGTTCTCATAAAAATGTCAAATGCAATCTCACATGTTTAATCTCTTCAGTCAAGAGAACAATTCTGTCTTCCATCTCCTGAATATTGTCATCCTGCTGGCTCAGCTTGTTCTGCATGGCACTGTCAGATAAACACAATCATTTCAAGCTGTTGTCCCCTTATTGGTCAGCCGATCGCTAACAAAGAATCGATCAAGGCAACATCAACAATCATTCAGTCTCTTATCGGCAAGCAAACACAGCAGAAGTTTCAGCTCTTGCAGCGCAAAGGCTACCCATTATCATTACGCAATATTTTAATTGTCTTCTCAAGGATTTCGCTGTTAAATTAACTACATTATTTATTGTTCTTCGGACACTCCGCAGAGCTTGGTCATATGTTATCTTCTCTATCCTGATGAACCAACTGGCAGAGACAATAGGGGACAGCCTATACCAGTACACCAATGACTGCAATCTGGTGCAGTGACCACATTCTAAAACGAGCCCAAAACAAGCTTCAAGGGTAGTCAACAATGTAGCAGGCTGGGTGGAAAATGGTGTTTCCATTCATATAAACCTCTCCAAATCCAGACGGATGATCTTCAAATGGAAAAGGGTAAGAATATGGCAGGCACTGAGACAGATGGTCAAAGAATTCAGAGTAAAACCCAAACCAAATTCCCGGGGATGTTGCACGAGCTGGAGTCAACACACTGACCAAACAGTAGAGAGGTGTAGAAGCTTCAATAAAACTAACAATTGTTAAATGAACTGGTTGGGGTGCAAACACAAAAACTATTGAGCTTTTATAAGGCATTCATCTGAAACAAGATCCAGTAAGAGTGCATTATATACAAAGCTGTTCCAGATGACCTCCCCCCCCCCCCCTCCCCCCAAGAAACAATCCAAACCCAAGCCATGTCAGGCATCTGGAGGGCAAGGAAAGGAACCGTCCCACTAAGCCTATGTCAGAAAACAGTTTCAACTAATGAACCCAAACGTCACTAGATCCACTCCACTCAGGCACTGGACGACAACAAAACCCACAGAGAGGCATCCCCATTTAAACATCACAGAGACCAACCCCCTAGAAAACAGCAGAAGAAACACACACGAAGAAAATGTGTATAACCACCTCCAGCGCCAACAAATACTAAATAACTATACCACCTTTGGAACTTGGAACCCCTAAAGACAGATCAAAGCCTAGAAATGAAAAAAAAAAAAAAACAGGACATCCTACGAAAAATAGATTAAAAGTTGAAAAATATTTTAAAAAAAATAAAAAATGCTGAGGTTAACAATATGATCATCTACACAGATAGGTCTAAAATGAATGAGGGAGCAGTCTGGGCAGGAGGTTACATTCTGACCTGGAAATTTCTCATCCTTATTATTATTAATTCACTAGCTGCTGTCCAGTCATTAAAAGACTATTCCAAAGTGAGCAGACGAGACCCAAAAGAAGAAATCTTAACTCTCTAAACCAGACTGAGGAACCTGTGATGTTAGATCACCATTGGCTGGATCCCAGCCCACACAGGTATAGAAGGCAACGCAGAAATAGACAGAGCAGCAAAAATAGGAAGCAAAAGCTCCAACACTATATTCCCAGGACCGGGGGAAACAGAAAACCAAGCAGCAAAAAGGGCACGGCCGTCTTCACACTGCTCAAAGACCTCAGTTTCAGAAATTAATATGTGTGTGTGTGTGTGTGCTGCGTTAGCGCAGTCGATAGGAGGTTCGCTTGCGATTCGCTGCAGTTACAGTCAGTGTTAAAAAAACCGGCGGTTCCCATGGTTTACACAGCCTCAAGGAAATGGGTACCAGAGTTTACACTCTGGGGTGAATGGAGTAACGTCGCTGTAGCTACGGAGTTACTTGCGGACGGTGACACAGGCGGACAGTTTCTTATCAGCTGTCTGTACTGGTGGCAGAGCACTTATGGTTTATAACCGTGTGCAGTGATGCTGGTTCACATCTCCCGACTTTGCCTTTACATGGACTATAAGAAGGTATTCCCTGTACCAGGATCACACTACATGGACTATAAGAAGGTATTCCATCTCTTGTACCAGCACCACACTACATGGACTATAAGAAGGTATTCCATCTCTTGTACCAGCACCACACTACATGGACTATAAGAAAGTATTCCATCTCTTGTACCAGCACCACACTACATGGACTATAAGAAGGTATTCCATCTCTTGTACCAGCACCACACTACATGGACTATAAGAAGGTATTCCATCTCTTGTACCAGCACCACACTACATGGACTATATGAAGGTATTCCATCTCTTGTACCAGCACCACACTACATGGACTTTAAGAAGGTATTCCATCTCTTGTACCAGCACCACATTACATGGACTATATGAAGGTATTCCATCTCTTGTACCAGCACCACACTACATGGACTATATGAAGGTATTCCATCTCTTGTACCAGCACCACACTACATGGACTATAAGAAGGTATTCCATCTCTTGTACCAGCACCACATTACATGGACTATATGAAGGTATTCCATCTCTTGTACCAGCACCACACTACATGGACTATATGAAGGTATTCCATCTCTTGTACCAGCACCATACTACATGGACTATAAGAAGGTATTCCATCTCTTGTACCAGCACCACACTACATGGACTATAAGAAGGTATTCCATCTCTTGTACCAGCACCACACTACATGGACTATATGAAGGTATTCCTTGTACCAGCACCACACTACATGGACTATATGAAGATATTCCTTGTACCAGCACCACACTACATGGACTATATGAAGGTATTCTCTGTACCAACACCTCACTACATGGACTATATGAAGGTATTATCTGTACCAGCACCAGACTACATGGACTATAAGAAGGTATTCCTTGTACCAGCACCACACTACATGGACTATGGAAAAATATTCCATCTCTTGTAGCAGCACCACATTACATGGAATATATGAAGATATTCCTTGTACCAGCACCACACTACATGGAATAAATGAAGGTATTCCTTGTACCAGCACCACACTACATGGACGACAGAAAAATATTCCATCTCTTGTAGCAGTACCACATTACATGGACTATAAGAAGGTATTCTCTGTACCAGCACCACACTACATGGACTATAAGAAGGTATTCCATCTCTTGTACCAGCACCACACTACATGGACTATATGAAGGTATTCTCTGTACCAACACCACACTACATGGACTATAAGAAGGTATTCTCTGTACCAGCACCACATTACATGGACTATAAGAAGGTATTCTCTGTACCAGCACCACACTACATGGACTATAAGAAGGTATTCTCTGTACCAACACCTCACTACATGGACTATAAGAAGGTATTCCATCTCTTGTACCAGCACCACACTACATGGACTATAAGAAGGTATTCTCTGTACCAGCACCACACTACATGGACTATATGAAGGTATTCTCTGTACCAACACCTCACTACATGGACTATATGAAGGTATTCCATCTCTTGTACCAGCACCACACTACATGGACTATAAGAGGGTATTCTCTGTACCAACACCTCACTACATGGACTATATGAAGGTATTCCATCTCTTGTACCAGCACCACACTACATGGACTATAAGAGGGTATTCCATTTCTTGTACCAGCACCTTACTAAATGGACTATAAGAAGGTATTTCCTGTACCAGCACCACACTACATGGACTATAAGAAGGTACTCCATCTCCTGTACCAGCACCACACTACATGGACTATAAGAAGGTATTCCATCTCCTGTACCAGTACCACACTTAGTTAGTTATTCCTCTTGTGCCAAAGATGGCGCATAGGGCAGAGGTCATAGCTTTCCACGTCTGTCGGTTCGTTGCCACTTGATGTAGGTCTTGAGTGCGACTGAGACCTATGGTTGAGTTCTCCCTTGTGATGGTTCTACGGAGAGTTTCTTTTGGTCTTCCCTGTTTTCTTTTACCCTCTGGTGACCATATGAAGGCTTGGTGGGGAAGTCTCTGTATGTCCATTCTGAGTACGTGACCGATGTAATTCCAGCGACGCATTCTAATAAAATCAGACACATATTTTTGTTTTGTTTCCTGTCTTATAGATGTATTGGACCTAAAGTCCGACCAGTGAACATTCAATAGCTTTCGGAGGCATCTATTCTCGAAAGCGACTAGTTTCTTATCGATTGATACTGATGATTTCCAACTCTCACAACCATAAGTTAGCACTGAGATCACACAGGAATTGAAGACCTTAAGTTTCGTGTTGTTGCTGAGTGATCTTGACTTCCAAATGTTTGACAGTTTGTTAAAGGCACTTGATGCTAACGCGATTCGAGTCGTTATTTCTGATGTTGTATCTCCCGCAGAGGTTATCTTGCTCCCTAAGTATGTGAAGCTGGTGGTTTTTTCAAGAACAATATCCTTTAGTTTGATGTCTTTCGACTCGTTGGTAAGATCGATGATTTTCGTTTTGGCTGCGTTGACCTGAAGGCCGATTTGGCTTGAAATATTCTGGAGGCGGTCCATTTTTTTCCTGAGCTTCTAGATGTGTTGTGCTCAGGAGTGCTAGGTCGTCAGCAAAGTCAAGATCTTCGAGAACTTTGTCGACCCATTTGATGCCTAGATATGTGTCCTGTGTGCATTTGCGCATGACCCAATCGAGTGCTATTCCGAAAAGCATCGGTGACAAGACACATCCTTGTTTCACGCCTGTTTCTACTGGGAACCAATCAGAGTTACCAGATTCCATTCTAACAAGGCGCGGGAATCGGTGTAGAAGGCCTTTATAATATTGACATATTTATCTTGGAAACCATAGATTGTGAGTAGCTTCCAGAGTGTAGGGCGGTGTATGCTGTCAAAGGCCTTCTGAAAATCAACAAAGTTGATGATGAGTTGGGATTGAAACTCTACTGACTCTTCTACGATGGTCCTGAGTGTGAATATATGGTCGATGCATGACCGATTCGGTCTGAATCCTGCTTGTTCTTCTCGGAGTCTTGCATCTATTGGCTTTTTCAGTCTCTGCATTAGCATGCTGCAGAACAGTTTTCCTGGTACGGAGAGTAGGGTGATACCACGCCAGTTGTTGCAGTCTGCTAAATCACCTTTTTTGGGCAGTTTGAATATAACACCTTCTTTCCACTGTTGCGGTGGGGATTCATTTAGCCAAACATCATTGAACAGCTGTAGCAAATATTTTTTTATTGCTGATTTAAGTTCTAACATTGTGAATGGTTCACAGGTAGCATCTAGAGGTGGCATAGCTTCTTCTTCGTCTATATTGGGAACAGTGTCGGGTTGTGGCCTATTTAATATTTCTCTGAAATGTTCTGCCCATCGTTGCTTTTGTTGTTCTTCAGATAATAATAATTTACCCTGTTTGTCTTTGATGGGTGCGTTTGCTGTAGGTGTATGGTTGCACAGCTGTTTCATGATGTGGAATACAGCTTTATTGTTCCCAGTTCTGGTAGCCGTTTCAGCATCGCAAGCTAGGTTGTGTATGAAATCTTGTTTATCTTTCCGTGCACTATGTTTCACTTCTTTATCTAACAAGGTGTACCTTTGTTTGACTTTTTCATATACAGATGTGTCTTTTGTAGATAAAAGGGATAATTTGGCCTGTTTTCTTTCCTGAATTTTTATCCAAGTGTTTTCACTCAGCCATTGTTTCTTCTTTCTTTGCATGTAACCAACTGTGTTGACTGCGGCTTTCTTGAAGGTGTCTCTAAAGAAGCTCCATTTTTGTTAGTTAAGGTTTGTACGTAGTTGTTTTGTATCCCAGAGTTAAATGTGATTTGATGTTGGTTTGACAACAGAGACTGTGAATCTATTTTCTTGCTTGTAAATGTTACCACACTACATGGACTATAAGAAGGTATTCTCTGTACCAGCACCACACTACATGGACTATATGAAGGTATTCTCTGTACCAACACCTCACTACATGGACTACATGAAGGTATTCTATCTCTTGTACCAGCACCACACTACATGGACTATAAGAGGGTATTCTCTGTACCAACACCTCACTACATGGACTATATGAAGGTATTCCATCTCTTGTACCAACACCTCACTACATGGACTATATGAAGGTATTCCATCTCTTGTACCAGCACCACACTACATGGACTATAAGAAAGTATTCCATCTCTTGTACCAGCACCACACTACATGGACTATATGAAGGTACTCCATCTCCTGTACCAGCACCACACTACATGGACTATATGAAGGTACTCCATCTCCTGTACCAGCACCACACTACATGGACTATAAGAAGGTACTCCATCTCCTGTACCAGCACCACACTACATGGACTATAAGAAGGTATTCCATCTCCTGTACCAGTACCACACTACATGGACTCTATTCCATCTCCTGGAATCATCAATGTGGAAGCAATAATTAACATATAAATTGATGTCAACAGTTTAATGTAAAAGCATGAAAAACAAAAGTTTCTTGCACTTACATGTAATTTTCCTCTGCAAGAAATATCCCATTCTTTTCTCTGCTTGCTTGGAGGTCCCGGCGCAGGCGTTCAATTTCTTCATTGTATTCCTGCAAAATGGATCATAGACTGGACTCAAGATTGCTTGGCTCAAACTGCTGTTAACATACATGTCTAGACAGCAAATGCTCACACAAATATAACATTAGTGTTTTAGTGGAAGGGAGACATCTGTTACCCTACTTGTCTAGCACACTCATCAAACAACAACTTTGAACACAAATATAACATTAGTGTTTTAGTGGAAGGGAGACATCTGTTACCCTACTTGTCTAGCACACTCATCAAACAACAACTTTGAACACAAATATGTTAGTGTTTCAGTGGAAGGGTGACATCCTTTACCATACTTGTCTAGAACTCATCAAACAACAACTTTGAACACAAATATAACGTTAGTGTTTTAGTGGAAGGGTGACATCCGTTACCCTACTTGTTTAACACATTCACTAGACGGCAATTTTTCACACAAATATAACATTAGTGTTTTAGTGGAAGGGTGACGTCCTTTCTGAGTTCCATCCTCACCCAATTAGTATGTTTTTAGTGTAAACGACAGATCAACATCATGACACTGTGACAAGCTGGTCTGGACAACTGTTTCTTCGATTTAAATTATTACTTTGTATAAGTACTATTAAAATTCTCTTATAAAGCTAAAAAAAAAAAAAGTTAACGAGAATTTGAAGACCAACTCAGAATTAACTCCCCATTTTTAGCACTTTCTGCCTCCTTTTCCAACAGAGACACAAGGCTGATGAAAGAGAGACACGTTTTTGTCGTTTCTCCTTAACTAACTCAGTACATACCAAAGTTGGTAGTCAGTACTGTAGTCTAATTGTGTTTGAATTCCTACCAGTGGTGAGCGAATAATTATTATTATTATTCTAATTTGATCTATTGCTGCTAATTCCCTATTTTACCTGCTGGCTAAAAATGTGCTGCTCAAATGTGGGGGGAAACCCTTGATAAATTTGTGTCCTGACTGACAATTTTTATGCTCTAGTATGTACATATTTATAAACATATGATCTATTTTGACTAATATAATATTTATTTGCTACTAAAAACGTGATTATTTGATTATTATAATTATATTTAATAACTGATAATTTATGTCCTGATGTGAAATCTCCGCCAGAGCAATTTCCAGCATGGTGACACTGGACTAATAAAGGAAACGTGTATAGTCACTATACCTTATGCTCACTAGGTTTATTTGGTGATTTTAATATTATAAATTACTGTCTTGATTTAACTCATTTAGCCCAGAGAATTCTGAAAATAGGTTAAGAGCTCGAAACAGAATTCCTTGCAAGAATTCACATTGACATCAACAGATTTTTTAAATTTCACATTCAACCATTCAGTCAGTCAGTATTTGGAGTCTGCCGTATGTAGCAGCTGAGGACACCAGTTCTGTGTTAATTTCTTATTCTTCTCTGGCTTCCTGCACGGTGCTCTTGTCTGGCCACATCCCTTACAACTGGCTGTCCTTGCGGTCTGGTCATAGTTGCAGGTCCAGTCACTTGGTTCTCACAAATGTCTTAGTTCTCGTCGGGAAATTCAGTATACCAGCCTGGACCATGGCTCTTCCCTCCTTTATAGTATTCTTATCTGCAAACCTTTCAGTTTGCTCACTTCCTTGATGAAACAGATATTTATCTACTTAGACGCCTCCAGAGACACTAGCCACTGTCTTTAGATCCAGCCCGTCTATACCTTACTAAGAGAGATGTGAGTGTAAAAATCTCTCTCCAAACATTTATTGCTGTGGTCACTACCATTCAGACTATTTGTGGTCAAGGCAAAAGCCCCAGAATCTTACTTCACAACTCTCCCTCTAACGTGAGCTGTAAAAACTCAAGAGACCTGATTAACTACATCAGAAAACGCAAAAGATATTCTCTGGAAATAAGGAGAGTACTGCGTGATAATGGAAATGCTGGCGGGAACAGGGACAGAAGTAGACCAAATGAGACGTCAGTTGGGCATGACAGCATGGAAAAAAAATGTGTATGAGAAATGGCTGACAGTAAATGACAAGGAAGTTTGTGAACTGAGATGATGACAGGACTATCAGAAAATGTCAGCTGGCACAGCCTCATAATCCACCCTTCATGTCAATTCTAGCAGAGACGACACTCACCCTTAGCAGGGCCTTTTTGGTCAGTTTCTGGTTGACCTCTGGCCGGTTGGTGATGTTCTTGGCTCTAAATGCGTAGTCGAGGGTGCTGAGTGTTTCCTAGACAGATCAATCATCGAACTATAACTCGTTAGCTAAACATCCTCTGCAGGATACACAACAGACCATCACACTGATCTCATTGACAGCTAGTATGCCTATTACCCCAGCAGTCAAGTCGGCATCTATGCCATATTCTCTGTCTGTGGCAGTCAGGTTAGCATATATGCCAAATGCTTTGTCTGGCAGTCAAGTCGGCATCTATGCCATATTCTCTGTCTGTGGCAGTCAGTCAGCATGGTGAAATAGCATGGCTATGTCCATGTATGCTATGTCTGTCTGTGGCAGTCAAGTCGGCATCTATGCCATATTCTCTGTCTGTGGCAGTCAGGTTAGCATCTATGCCATATGCTCTGTCTGTGGCAGTCAAGTCGGCATCTATGCCATATTCTCTGTCTGTGGCAGTCAGGTTAGCATCTATGCCATATTCTCTGTCTGTGGCAGTCAAGTCGGCATCTATGCCATATGCAGTCATGTCAGCATGTAAGAAATATGCCCATGTCCATGGCAGCATTTATTAAATATACCCTGTCTGTGGCAGTCAGGTCAGCATTTATTAAATATGCCCTCTGTCTGTGACAGTCATGTCAGCATGTATGAAAAATTCCCCCTGTCTGTCGCAGTCATGTCAGCATGTATAAAATATGCCCCTGTCTGTCGCAGTCATGTCAGCATTTATGAAATATGCCCCCTGTCTGTCGCAGTCATGTCAGCATGTATAAAATATATCCCTGTCAATGGCAGTCATGTCAGCATGTATGAAAAATGCCCCTGTCTGTGGCAGTCAGGTTAGCATGTATGAAATATGCCCCTGTCTGTGGCAGTCATGTCAGCATCTATAAAATATGCCCCTGTCTGTGGCAGTCATGTCAGCATGTATGAAATATGCCCCTGTCAATGGCAGTCATGTCAGCATGTATGATATATGCCCCTGTCTGTGGCAGTCATGTCAGCATGTATGAAATATGCTCTGTCTGTGGCAGTCATGTCAGCATGTATAAATTTTGCTCTGCCTGTGGCAGTCACGTCAGCATGTATAAAATATGCTCTGCCTGTGGCAAGCACGTCAGCATGTATAAAATATGCCCCTGTCAATGGCAGTCATGTCAGCATGTATAAAATATGCCCCTGTCTGTGGCAGTCATGTCAGCATGTATGAAATATGCTTCCTGTCTGTGGCAGTCATGTCAGCATGTATGAAATATGCCCCTAACTGTGGCAGTCATGTCGGCATGTATGAAATATGCCCCTGTCTGTGGCAGTCAGGTTAGCATGTATGAAATATGCCCCTGTCTGTGGCAGTCATGTCAGCATGTATAAAATATGCCCCTGTCAATGACAGTCATGTCAGCATGTATAAAATATGCCCCTGTCAATGACAGTCATGTCAGCATGTATGAAATATGCCCGTCTGTGGCAGTCAGGTTAGCATGTATGAAATATGCCCCTGTCTGTGGCAGTCATGTTAGCATGTATGAAATATGCCCCTGTCAATGGCAGTCATGTCAGCATGTATGAAATATGCCCCCTGTCTGTGGCAGTCATGTCAGCATGTATGAAATATGCCCCTGTCTGTGGCAGTCATGTCAGCATGTATGAAATATGCCCCTGTCTGTGGCAGTCAGGTCAGCATGTATGCTCTGTCTGTGGCAGTCATGTCAGCATGTATAAAATATGCTCTGCCTGTGGCAGTCACGTCAGCATGTATAAAATATGCTCTGCCTGTGGCAGTTACGTCAGCATGTATAAAATATGCTGTCTGTGGCAGCCATGTCAGCATGTATGAAATATGCTCTGTCTGTGGCAGTCATGTCAGCATGTATGAAATATGCTCCCTGTCTGTGGCAGTCATGTCAGCATGTATGAAATATGCTCCCTGTCTGTGGCAGTCATGTCAGCATGTATGAAATATGCTCCCTGTCTGTGGCAGTGGCAGTCATGTCAGCATGTATGAAATATAATCCCTGTCTGTGGCAGTCATGTCAGCATGTATGAAATATGCTCCCTGTCTGTGGCAGTCATGTCATCATGTATGAAATATGCTCCCTGTCTGTGGCAGTCATGTCAGCATGTATGAAATATGCTCCCTGTCCGTGGCAGTCATGTCAGCATGTATGAAATATACTTCCTGTCTGTGGCAGTCATGTCAGCATGTATGAAATATGCTCCCTGTCCGTGGCAGTCACATCAGATTGTATGATATATGCTCCCTGTCTGTGGCAGTCATGTCAGCATGTATGAAATATGCTCCCTGTCTGTGGCAGTCATGTCAGCATGTATGAAATATGCTCCCTGTCTGTGGCAGTCATGTCAGCATGTATGAAATATGCTCCCTGTCTGTGGCAGTCATGTCAGCATGTATGAAATATGCTCCCTGTCTGTGGCAGTCATGTCAGCATGTATGAAATATGCTCCCTGTCTGTGGCAGTCATGTCATCATGTATGAAATATGCTCCCTGTCTGTGGCAGTCAGGTCAGCATGTATGAAATATGCTCCCTGTCCGTGGCAGTCACGTCAGCATGTATGAAATATGCTCCCTGTCTGTGGCAGTCATGTCAGGATGTATGACCTGCCCGACCCTTGCACTAAGTTAATTATTGCGAATTTAAATACACACAGCCCCAGAATTAAATAAATGAAAATTGTTATGAGGACAAGACAAAAGCAGTCCTTGAAGCAAAGCATGCTTTCCAACAAGTCCCATATCAGATTTCTCTGCGGTCATCCTCACATTTAGGCCTAGGACCTGATGTGTCTGTTCTCTGACTCTGCAAATGAGTTCATGATTACACTGGAAATCCATCATATTTTCAACTTTAATTTTGAATTTTACAACAGTTCTGAATCGAGAACGATGAATGGCACCTTTATGTCTTTCCAGGCGATAGTGTCATACTGTCTGTGAGGAGGCGCAGGACTTACATTAAGAAAAGCCTCCCACAAGGATTTCATTGTTGTCAACATTTGTGTTTAGTCTGTTTTTTTCTCAGAAGCTCAGCTCTCATACTTTGTGCAATCGGTTTTTTTCCCCCTCCATTTCCTGTTGTTCCCCCTCCACATAAAACTTTCCAAGGCATTCTGTTCCCATGAGTCCACCTCAGTACCTGTATCATTATTGTCCCACTTGCACATGTCTTTACATAGTAGAGGCGGCCTCAACATCTTCTACCTGTCTTTAATTCACCATGAAGGATGTCCTTAGGGACTCCATTCGCTAGGGTGTGATCCAAATACCTGAGCCTTCATAAACTCAGCATTGAGAAAACTGTTGTAGTACCTGCTCCTTGATGTTTTTTTATCTTGTCCTGCCACTTAATGCTACGTATTCTTTTTAGGCATTACATGTGGATTTTTAGCAGTCTCTTTTGGTGCGAATAAGCTTCTCTGCGATAAAACAGAATGCTGAGAACACAACACTTTTTACTGCCTGGCTCATTGGTTTTTACAGTCTGCAATTCAGATTTTGTCCTAGCTTTCAGCACATGTTAAAGCATACAGGCTGTGGCGGATCAACACCTTACTGGGTGAGGGCTGCCAGCATCAGGCAGGTGGTAGCTGATTAGTGATATTCGAAGATGTCTACCACTGTCAGAGGCAACCCGTTGCGCCTCTGTCCACGTCAATTGACAAGGACTTTTAACCCGTATCTGCTGCCATTTACGGCCAGGGATGGAGTTCCTCCATAGCTCAAAGCCTGGGCAGTACTGCAGAGTCCATATGTTGCCCATGCATCATGATCCCATCCTCACCTGCCTTGTTTACTCCAAAGGAAAGGTAACACAAGTATATTTAGAACAAAGCAGGCTACAGAAGCCGCCAGATCAAAAGAGCAAAGATTACATTTTTTGTTAGCTCAGTAAAAATGTTATTGATATGGCTGAATTGATGAGACTAGTGTATGGGGATCAATATTTCTCTGGTGCACAAAGACTGTCAGGTGGTGTTCAACATTACAGGTCATGCTTGGTCAGACCTGACTGAGCTACCGTACAACAGTAGCCAGTACCACCTGTTTTCTGCTGAATGTTGGGCAGCTTTTACCAAACCTGACATCACATTTAATAAGTATATTTTAAACTTTTTCTTCTTCTTCTTTGCATTCGGTTTTGTATGATCAAATCAAACCATCAGGTGAGTTGCACCTATAAACTCACATGTCAGCAGCAGGTCCTTTATGGTACCCCATAGCTGGCTTTGCACACTTCGCTCAGGCAGTTGTGAAGCTATCTCTAGAAAAAAAAAAAAAAAAACATGCCACATACCTCCAGGTTACACAAGGCTGGCGATATTGTGGCAATGATTGAAGTTTTTGTACGCCCACCCAGAGAATCTTGCAGCAGCCTTGTCAACTTGCTTTCCCTGCATATAAAAATACCAGATGGTTAAGTATGTCATGTCTACTGTCCACACAACTGTATCAAGAGTTGGCATCTACACAGTGTGAACAGACTGAGGTATAACCTGGAATATATAAAGCCACAACCATGAACTGAGGGGCGGCACAGTTATCCTGGGAGATGGTAAGTGAGCGGACGATGGACATGCTGCATTGCTCCTCTCTAAATAAGATTAACTAGTATTTATTGGATGGAACACACCACGTGTAAGGAAATCAATACTAGTTATGGGTGAGTTGACAGTGGAGACTTCTAGATTAGTAGACAGTGACATGCCAGATGACCACATGGAGGCTTCTGATTGGAAGGCAAGTGTGGCCGTCTGGGACAGCTAGTTAGTTAGACAGTACAAAGCTTAGATGTAGGTGTAGAAACATCATGGTAAGACTGACAGTTATAGAAAGATGAAAACAGACAGATCTCTGCAGCTCCTTACTCACAGCTGACCATATGCACTTAAGACTATAGCTGCAAATGACATATAGCAGAGAATGCTTTTCACACTATATCAGCACCTGATCCTGTCAGTGGTTGATTATAGCCTGGAAATGCTTACCGTCTCAAAACAGTCAGACAAACCAGAGCGCATTCAGAACGCTGCTATGCGGACCATTCTGGGTTGCCCCAGAGACACCCCAGTGGTGTGTATGCGATACACCCTTGGTTTGCCGACAGTTGCAGGTGGGCACAAGGTGATGCAGGCGAAGTCATATCTTAGGGTAGCTGCAGACACAGACCACCCTCTGCATGAAGCTCTGGGTGCAGTTAAGGGTCAGCGCCTGATAAGAAGGATGTCATGGATGGCTCAGGCAGAAGACACAGACAGGTTTGCATCCTTGAGAACATTAGGCGAGGAGAAGAGTGGGTCAAAGTGCCACATGAACAGTCAGGCTTGTGTAGAGTCATAATCACGCTGAGCCGGGAATGCAGAGACTGGCCAGCAGGTGCCACAGAGGTGGAAATTCAGCAATTAATTCAAGATAATACTCGCTCAGAGGATTTGATCATTTACACAGACGGTTCAGTGTCAAGAGACAAAAGAAGTGCTTGGGGCTTCTTAGCAAAAAGGCAATTGTCGATGTGTGGTGCAGGAGAGCCTAGCATATGATACCACAACATCTAGCTTAAGAAGAGGTGGAGGCAGTCACTGGCTAGAGAACACGACACACACACACATCGTGATTGTAACTGATTCAGAAAGCATGCTGAGGAAGATCAGAACAAATATGCTCCGTGCAGAGTGGCATGCTTCGCTGCGGAGGGCACGGGTGAGGAGTATTGTCTGGATTTTTTTACCGGGTTACGCCGGTGTGTTGGGAAATGAACACACACGGACAGACTGGCTGGCTCTGCACAGCTTGGTGAAATACTGATACATGATAAGGCAGATGTGGTTAGTGCCTTGTGGGAGAGTGTGTAGTTTGGAGGAGCAGATGGATCACCAGTCTGGTGATACTGATGCAGCGGGGAGTGACAAGAGGTTCTGGCAGATGCCAGAGGCTGAGGAAAGGCAGGATGGACGTTTAATCAGAATGCTACTGGCACCATTAGTATCGGAACCCTTCGCTGGCTGCTGAAGATAGGGACAGAACGCTTATGGGAATGTCCCGAGTGCTGTGATGTCGGTTCTTGAATCAATTCAATCAGCTGACCATATGTGTGCCTGTACATAGTGATTTATAGTTGATAGTTTTGTTGACATTGTTGTTATGGAGAATTAACTGCTTCGCTGACACTTCGCTCACAACTCATAGTATTTCATCACTACCTGTTTGATATGGCAATAGCGTACACCGTCTGGCCCTGGAGCATTATTTCCGCTGCCTCGCAGTGCCACTTTTATGTCGATTTCAGACACCATGTCTTTATACTCGTCAATGACAGGGCTATGCCTGAGATTCTCTAGTGTTGCTCCGATCTGTCCTATCGTCTTTATCCGTTTGGATTAAATACCGCCTAAATCACTTTTGCCCTTTCTCCTTGTCACTTGTCAATATTTTACCTTCATGTTATCAAAAAGCCACAAATTTAAAGAAAATGGTTTTCTCTGAGCAACAGCATTAGGTCAGACCACTTTCAAAAATATCAATGCTGAAACTGCTATGCCTCCGAGTGTTTGTCTAATGAATACAAGTCCATAAATTATGGATTTATGATATTGGTTGACATAGATATTAATACAGATTACATAATAATGAAGTCTGTGTGATACAACATTAGGAGAGGACAGACAGTACGGGCATCTAAGAGGTCTGTATCACCAATAAGTTCTGAGCCACAGTCTAGTGTTGCTCTGTAATTAAAGACAGCCTTCAGAAACATTCACTTAGAAAGAGTGTTGATTCAATGTAGGAAGGAACTAACAACTAAGCCACTCACCTGTAGGGGATGTGTGGAGCATGTTCTACTAGTGCTGTAATGACACGTCCTAAGGTAAGCAGTGACTGGTTGATGTTGCCTGCAACAGAGATACATGCTCAAACAATAGTTAACATGGCAACTGTCACTAATAAAAACCAAATCAGAGAACAGCTGCCATATAATTTAAACCCCCCCCCCCAAAAAAAATGGTGGGGGGGGGGGGGGGGGGGTTTGGGCAGATAAATACCACATGTGGATGGGAGCTACATGGTGTAGTTAAACATATGGCAAGGATAGGCAGTGAACTGCACGCAACAGCAAAAGATATGAAGGATCTGGAGTCCGAAATCAGACGTTTACAGACTATGTTTCGGAAGTTCCAAATACTTTGGATAAATGATTTAGCCAAAGTCAGATAATTAAAAACTTCTAGTTGATCTCTTGGTAAAATGTTAGAGTCACTACCAAAGCCAAGGTCAACAAACCATCTTCATGGAAAGAGTTGGAAGAATTTGGTGAGAATTACTTTTCAGCTCATCGTAACGTATTCATATCCAATTCCAGTACTTACAATAACAGAGACAATCTAACCCAGTCACTAGGCAATACAGAAAGAAAACCACTTTCAATAATAAATAGAAGCCAGTATATTGTAAGACATATCATCCAAATGACAAAATGTGTGACAGGAATCCAGGTTTTAAAGACTACATGCAAAAACTTACTGCTAGAAAAATCAGAAATCAAGATAATATAATGATGCCATCAAATGTTTTTCCTGTGGATGTTATAATCACATTAAAAATACAGTTTAAAAAACGATTTAAAGAAGCTAATGCCAGGTATGAGACCTCTGACAGTGAACCCGTGGATGCCAGTGCAGTGACATACAAAAGTGATACTTGTTTAACATGCCACCAGTTCCATAAAGAAGCTAATGCCAGGTATGAGACCTCTGACTCAGACAGTGAACCCGTGGATGCCAGTGCAGTGACATACAAAAGTGATACTTGTTTAACATGCCACCAGTTCCATAAAGAAGCTAATGCCAGGTATGAGACCTCTGACTCAGACAGTGAACCCGTGGATGCCAGTGCAGTGACATACAAAAGTGATACTTGTTCAACATGCCACCAGTTCCATAAAGAAGCTAATGCCAGGTATGAGACCTCTGACTCAGACAGTGAACCTGTGGATGCCAGTGCAGTGACATACAAAAGTGATACTTGTTTAACATGCCACCAGTTCCATAAAGAAGACACCCTGCCCTGTAGCTATAATATCCCTGTACAGGCGGCAAATGCAGTAACAAATTCTCATTATATAAGGGGCACTGACAATGGCAAGACACTTTCAGTATTAGGAGACACTGGGGCTCCAATTTCTGGCCTCCATAAGGAACTTGAAGACATTAGCAGTAAACACATGAACTGTAGAACTTTTGGTGGTACAAGTGAAAAATCTGAAGTTGCATATGTCAATTTTAAAACTGCTTTTCTGGAAAAGAGAATACCGGTTGCGGTACTGCCAGACCGTGCGCTGGATTAATCTGGGGTAACAAAACAGATCTCAAAGATGTGTCTGAAGAAGATATTGTGCAGTAGGAAAAAACAAACATCACTGACTGTAAGAAAAGTTGCATGATTAATGTCAATTACAAAGATAGTTGTGAAAAAGCAAAAACACCAAATGATCAAGAAATTGAAAAGAGATTAGACAACCAGTGAATGTGTGAGTGAGATCATTCGATACAGCTTTGCAGATATAGACAATTTATTTCTTGCGAACGAAAGAAGAAAAAAAGAAGATCATTCGATAACAGAAAAGCATGTACAACAGATGAATGACAGTACTGTGTATAACCAAAACACAAAGCAGGTGTCCAAAACTGTCGTCTCAGTCATTAGAATCAGTTGAAGACCCAAAGCTTTAGCATCCAACTTCTGCAGTTACTAGAAGTATGAGTAACATCATGCAAGAAAAGGTAAAGCACGAAAATGTAAAAAAGAACTGTCATGTATTCCACTGGAATCAACTGAGTGTCAAAAATTTTTTAGAATGCCCAAATCAGTGATCCATCTTTTGTAAAAAAAAAAAATTGTTTTGAATCAATTCATACTAAATAAATTGTTTAAAAAAAAAAAAATGGACTTTGCAAATTTATTTTGAAGTGACATAAACCAAAAGAGATGCAGAAAACACAAATGGTGCCACTAAAACTACAAGAATAACAGAACGATGAAATTTAGTAAATGTATTGATATGTTCAAATTTACAAAATATTTGTGTTATATGAAAGTCATTTTCTTTTTGTATCTCATTTTCATGAACTATTCTGAATGGGTGGTCTTAAGAATAGTGTGTCAGTGAACAGACTGAGTGGGTGGTCTTAAGAATAGTGTGTCAGTGAACAGACTGAATGGGTGGTCTTAAGAATAGTGTGTCAGTGAACAGACTGAATGGGTGGTCTTAAGAATAGTGTGTCAGTGAACAGACTGAATGGGTGGTCTTAAGAATAGTGTGTCAGTGAACAGACTGAGTGGGTGGTCTTAAGAATAGTGTGTCAGTGAACAGACTGAATGGGTGGTCTTAAGAAAAGTGTGTCAGTGAACAGACTGAATGGGTGGTCTTAAGAAAAGTGTGTCAGTGAACAGACTGAGTGGGTGGTCTTAAGAATAGTGTGTCAGTGAACAGACTGAATGGGTGGTCTTAAGAAAAGTGTGTCAGTGAACAGACTGAATGGGTGGTCTTAAGAAAAGTGTGTCAGTGAACAGACTGAATGGGTGGTCTTAAGAAAAGTGTGTCAGTGAACAGTGGGTGGTTAAGTGTGTCAGTGAACAACTGAGTGTAAGTGTGTTCAGTGAACAGTGAACAGACTGAATGGGTGGTCTTAAGAAAAGTGTGTCAGTGAACAGACTGAATGGGTGGTCTTAAGAAAAGTGTGTCAGTGAACAGACTGAATGGGTGGTCTTAAGAATAGTGTGTCAGTGAACAGACTGAATGGGTGGTCTTAAGAATAGTGTGTCAGTGAACAGACTGAATGGGTGGTCTTAAGAATAGTGTGTCAGTGAACAGACTGATGGGTGGTCTTAAGAAAAGTGGTCTGGTCTTAAGAATAGTGTGTCAGTGAACAGACTGAGTGGGTGGTCTTAAGAAAAGTGTGTCAGTGAACAGACTGAGTGGGTGGGTGTGTCAGTGAAAGAAGAGTGGGTCAGTGAACAGACTGAATGGGTGGTCTTCAGAATAGTGTGTCAGTGAACAGACTGAATGGGTGGTCTTCAGAATAGTGTGTCAGTGAACAGACTGAATGGGTGGTCTTAAGAATAGTGTGTCAGTGAACAGACTGAGTGTCAAGTCAAGGTAAGCGCAAACTTTACCAGGCAAGTCTGAATTTTGCAAAGATGGCCGGAAATCATGAAAAACGGACAGTGCATGTTTTGTATGAGAACATTCTGGAAGAAATGGGAGAGGCTATTATTCAAGTCATGAGAACTTGAGTCAGGCTTGTCTTGATTTAATCTTGGAGACTGAAGTGCTGATTTGAATGGATCCTGAATAATCGAGCGCGTGAGAACCCGGAGAAGCCTGGCTAATCAAACCATGAGATGGAATGAGATGCAGTGTCTGTGCAATGTCTGGTGCTGTTTGTGAAGTGCCAGCATGAGATGCAGTGTCTGTGCAATGTCTGGTGCTGTTTGTAAAGTGCCAGCATGAGATGTGTGACAGTGCAATGTCTGGTGCTGTTTGTGAAGTGCCAGCATGAGATGTAGTGACAGTGCAATGTCTCGTGCTGTTTGTGAAGTGCCAGCATGAGATGCTGTGACTGTGCAATGTCTGGTGCTGTTTGTGAAGTGCCAGCATGAGATGCAGTGACAGTGCATTGCAGAATAATCTGAATGGTTATCAGCTGTTTGATGTTCCTGATACAGTTCGGCTGTGCTACAGCATTTGAGAATGTGTCAGAGTAGACTGCATATAAATAGAGCCTGCAGTCATTGCAGTGACGTACAAATTGACTGTCCAGAGAAATGCTTTTCCAGTGCACAGCTCATGTACCTGACTGACATAACACTCTTGTCAGATGCCCCACTGACTTTACTGCAGTGGCATTACTATAGAGAGAAACTTGTGTAGATTATAAAGTGTATCCACCTAATAAAAAAATTAATTCAGTAGCTTCCAAGAACAATATAAATGTGATTTAATGACACATCAACAGAAAGGAGCCTAGCAAACCAACTCTTACCTGCCTCTCGAGCTCGCTTGTCCACAGCTCCAGAACGCCCAATATTTTCTGATCCTGCAAGATCAACCTAGATTCCCAAAAAGTACACACAGAATCCATCACCACATATACATGTTGGGACACAATGTAACATTGGCAACAGGGTTCATATATACAGGTCAGGACATATCTCACAGCAGCAGTCACCTCACACCAACTATATCTTACAGATTGTTAACAATATGCCCACCAACCGCTATTCCTGGCATACTTAATTATTATTTCATTATTACTTACTTCACAGTACAAATTGAATAAATTGGGTGATAGTACACATCTATGTCCAACACCTTGTTTAATGTTTTAAAAAGTTCCAGCTTGTCAATCCTTATGGCTACTTCTTGTTGCCAAAAGATGTTTTTTTTACTATTCTCAGATCTCTCCCATCAGTGTTTAAGGTTTTCACAATTCTAATAATTTCTTCATGTTTCACTTAATCAAATGCTTTGCTTTTAGTCACCTTAGTCTTTAGGACCAACAAGAGGGACACGCAGAAAGAAACCTGTGACAAGAGTTGAGTAAACACTCACCAAATAAAGCTTGCCCGTCTTGAGAAGCTCCTCCCCCTCCACAGTGTTCTCCTTAATGTGGATTGTCACTGAGAACACTGAATGAGAACGACTGCAATACACATGATGATGATCAAACATACAGCAATTCTTCTTCTGATTATTAATTATAGTCCATGCTGTGTCCAGTTAGTCATCAGGTCTAGCTCCCACACCACAATCATATGGTTCACATACTGCTATTCTCCCCATCCCATGATGCTACATTGACTAACACTTCCTCTGTTGGTGCCCCCTGCTTTATCCCATCCCATGCTTCATTGACTAACATTTCCTCTCTGTTGGTGCCCCCTGCTTTCTCCCATCCCATGCTTCATTGACTAACATTTCCTCTCTGTTGGTGCCCCCTGCTTTCTCCCATCCCATGCTACATTGACTAACATTTCCTCTCTGTTGGTGCCCCCTGCTTTCTCCCATCCCATGCTACACTAACATTTCCTCTCTGTTGGAGCCCCTGCTCACTCCCATGATGCTACATTGACTAACATGTCCTCTCTGTTGGTGCCCCCCTGCTCCCTCCCATCCTATGCTACACTGACTAACATTATTTCTAACTAGTCTGTTATCTCTAACTGGTCTGTTATTCAGGTCATCTCTAACTGGTCTGTCATTCAGTTCATCTCTAACTGGTCTGTCATTCAGTTCATCTCTAACTGATCTGTTATTTAGGACATCTCTAACTGATCTGTCATTCAGGACACCTCTAACTGATCTGTCATTCAGGACATCGCTAACTGATCTGTCATTTAGGTCATCTTTAACTGGCCTGTTATTCATGTCATTTGTAACTGGTCTGTTATTCAGGTAATCTGTAACAGGTCCGTTATTCAAGTCATCTCTAACTAGTTTGTTATTCAGGTGAACTCTTTTTAGTCCATTATTCAATCCCATGACTGCTTGACAGAGATAGAAAAAAAAACACGAAAACGAGGAATGGTTATACCTGGATACAGCATTCATCAGTGTGGCAGCTGTCTGCCGTTTAGCTGTTCCACGCTGCAAGATTTCAAAAACCTCATCTTTGTTGCGTACCACCACTTCTTCCAGTCCTGATATTATCACAGAGCCCTGCATTCCAGAAATACAGTAATCAAATTCAAAATAGAAATTGGCAACCAGTCAGACATTCCACCATACAGTCTTCTCTTAGACAAATCCACCAATCAGATAATCAAATGCCAACATTCACAACCCAGTGCGAAATACAGTCTGCTGTTGGAGAAAACCCTCATCAATAAATCAAATGCCAACACTCACATTTCAGTATCACAACAATGAGCTTTTGGTTTGAGAAAAGACAAGAAGTGGCTGTTTTCATGGCCACTGTAGTCCAGAGTTGTAGTTTTCTGTATTTGTCTTGCACTTCCTAAGAGTGCTTGTGATGAAGCTGCTCATCTGCATCACTGTCTATATATATATCTATCTTGGTCTTCCTCTTGTCTTGTCTTCCTCTTGTCTTGTCTTCCTCTTGTCTTATGCAGAAGGTCTCATTTAGATTTTCTAGCTGCACTCTTACTATTAGGTTCTTCTGTTACCAGTGGAGCCGTAACTCATAAAATGTTGTGCGCTTAACATGGTCATGTTAAAATTATGTGATAAGTACTGACCAATGAATAAAAGAGCATGTTTGTATTATCCCAAGACATAGGTTCCATTTTTGACTGCTGAGAAAATGGCGGCATTGATCCAATAAAGCTCAAAGAGTGGTTACAGTTTCTTTCATTTGAAGAATATTGACCAGTCGACATTTATAAAAAGAAATAGAGGCATGTGAAATAAGAGTAACAGATGTGTGCCGAAGACAGCAGTGACAGACTGGGCACAAATGATACATGAGTTGGGTTATCTTCACAGCACTCTGGACACATCCACATGTGTTCAGGTACCCCTTCAACATATTCATCAGCGCCGTGTAATAATGCCAGTCCTATGCTGATTAACAAGACTTCTTGTGCATCCGGTGTGCCGGTCATGCCGATATTTACTCCCAAAATCCTTGGCTTGTGCTATCTCTTTAAAGGCATTAACAATGTCGGTGTGCTCCACAGGCCGGTGATCTGCAACCAAGACAGATCCAGTCAGACTATCAGGTGTTTAATTGCAAAAACAAACCTGCATGACCTGGGACAACGATTAGAGTAACTGCATACATAGGGTCTTTTCACAATGACTCAATCCACTGTCTGCTTACGAAGCCTGCCTCGACCAGCCAAATTATGTTCATAGAATCACTCAGCACACACACAGGGGAAAAGTCCAGTGATTACAGCCACATAAAAGTTTGTGTCACTGCCATCACCTCTATTGTCATGCTGCTAGTAGTCATAGTGAAGACAGTGCTGGCTTCCTGGGCTTTTCTGCTTGCAGAGCAAGCTGTGACTGCCTATGCATTTGTGTGTTCTCGTACAACAGACCCGTCTGTGGATCAGCATACCTGGCTCGTCTGAACTGTCAATGACATAGACGCTGACAGCAATGGGATTTTGCTATGAAGTGTGATGACACAGGAGAAGGTGCCACTGAGTACATTAGGCACTGGTATCCATTCCTCACCAGGGTCAATGTCTGTATGACTGCAGACCTGATTGATATCATCCTTTGCTCTACCTCACCAGGGTGGATGTCTGTATGACTGCAGACCTGATTGATATCATCCTTTGCTCTACCTCACCAAGGTGAATGTCTGTATGACTGCAGACCTGATTGTTATCATCCTTTGCTCTACCTCACCAGGGTGAATGTCTGTATGACTGCAGCCCTGATTGATATCATCCTTTGCTCTACCTCACCAGGGTGGATGTCTGTATGACTGCAGACCTGATTGATATCATCCTTTGCTCTACCTCACCAGGGTGAATGTCTGTATGACTGCAGTCCTGATTGATATCATCCTTTGCTCTACCTCACCAGGGTGGATGTCTGTATGACTGCAGACCTGATTGATATCATCCTTTGCTCTACCTCACCAGGGTGGATGTCTGTATGACTGCAGACCTGATTGATATCATCCTTTGCTCTACCTCACCAGGGTGGATGTCTGTATGACTGCAGACCTGATTGATATCATTCTTTGCTCTACCCAGTCTTTATCTGCACCGTTCTAGTCTGTTGCCTTTTTTTTTCTGAAAGAATGGTGTGCACAAGCCCTTCAAATTTAGATCCTGTAGTTCATGGCTGGCAAGTGTGCATGGCTTCATTTGATTCAAGTCTGTGGCTGACAGTGGAAATACCTAAGACATATTCAAAGGGAAAAAGAACAAGTCCTTGGCAGCAGCCAGGACACTCACAGCTGCCAAGTAGATAAATACTCTCTTCACACTGTCCTCATGTATACAAACATGATCACACCAGTGGATAAATACTCTCTTCACACTGTCCTTATGTATAAAAACATTATCACACCAGTGGATAAATACCCTCTTTACACTGTGCTCATGTATACAAACATGGTCACACAACTAGATAAATACTCTCTTTACACTTTCCTCATGTATACAAACATGATCACACCAGTAGATAAATACCTTCTTCACACTTTTCTCATGTATACAAACATGATCACACCAGTGGATAAATACTCTCCTCACACTTTCCTCATGTATACAAACATGATCACACCAGTGGATAAATACCCTCTTCACACTGTCCTCATGTATCGAACATGATCACACCCCAGTGGATAAATACCCTCTTCACACTGTCCTCGTGTATACAAACATGATCACACAAGTAGATAAATACTAGGGCTGTACCGAATATTCGCTTCGTATTCGCTTCGGGGCCGAATAGTGGACCTATTAACTATTCGGTATTTGGCCTAATAGCTGCAGTCGGGCCGAATACAAATAGTGGTTACCTTACTCCCGTTTCTGCATACACTGTGATGTACTGAAATAATTCTCTCATTAACACAATAGTTGCTTTTGCCTAAGTCTGTTGTAGCGGTGGTTGCCTGGTACAAACTGCATAAAATGCCAACCGCATTGTGTGTTTGTGTATGAGAGAGAGAGAGGGGGGAGAAAGAACGAACAAACTTTATTTTTAAAGGGTTAAGAATTGGGCACGCAGGCCTGTCTTACATTCTGCCCTTCGAGGTCTCCCTTCATTCTTACATCATTTCATTCACACTTTGGGTAATGAAACATTATCAAAAGCATCAAAACATTAAGTACAAGCACTGAAATGTCTACATTTCTAACTACAATCAACCGTACTGGTAGTTATTAATCTATGGAAAAATGCGCTATTTCGGAGATATCATGCATTTTTCGTTCTTTCAGGGTGTCTTCGACCAAATCAAATTTGAAGATATTGCTAACGAGAATATAAAGGTGCGTTCAAATTACATCGAACGAACGGCCAAGCGAACGATGGTTTTAAAAGAGGCGGGAGCCCGAAGACAACTAATCACAGACATCAGAAGGAGACAGTCGTCATATTTTAGCCATGTTAGGAGAAGAAGGAAAATGGAACATTTGGTGACTACTGGAAAAATCTGTGGAAAGAGGGATAGAGGAAGACAACGATAAAAGATTCTTGACAGTCTTGTTGCATGGCATGGAGGTGTGTAAGCACACGAACTGATACATGCTGCTGGATATAGCAGATTGTGGAGAGGCATGATCGCCCACGCCAGTCGACAAGGCACCTGATGATGATGATGAAACGCTATTCGTATTCGGCTAAATAGTTGCTCCCACTATTCGTATTCTCCTGAATAGTGAAAATAACTATTCGGTACAGCCCTAATTTAAATTACATCGAACGAACGCCTGAACGAACGATGATTTAAATGCGAATTTGGCACATGGATAAAAATCAGATGAAAGATGCATTACTAAAATAAAAAACAAAATAGGACAGGCAAAAACTGCATTTTATTTTTTTTTTTTAAAAAGAACATCTTATGCAATATATCTTTGTCTTGCTTGCTACATACATCCAGTTTTAACATATGGCTATGAGTCCTGGACAATCGGTAGCCAGGCCAAACAATTTTTTTGAGGCCTCAGAGATGTGGTTTTCCAGAACAATTCTTAAAACACCTTGGACAGCCTAAAAAGAAAGCAACCACTAGGTTTTGAAAGAGGCGGGAGCCTGAAGACAACTAATCACAGACATCAGAAGGAGACAGTCATCATTTTTCTGCCATCTTATAAGAAGAGTGAAAATGGAACATGTGGTGACCACTGGAAAGATTTGTGGACGGAGAGATAGAAAAAGACAACGATAAAAGATTCTTGACACTATTGTTGCATAGCATGGAGGTGTGTAAGCACATGAACTGATACATGCTGCAGGAGATAACAGATTGTGGAGAGGCCCACGTAAGTCGACAAGGCACCTGATGATGATGATACACTATTCGTATTTGGCCGAATAGTTGGTCCCACTATTCGTATTCGGCAGAATAGTGAAAATCACTATACGGTACAGCCCTAATAAATACTCTCTTCACACTGTCCGCATGTATACAAACATGATCACACCAGTGGATAAATACCCTCTTCACACTGTGCTCATGTATACAAACATGATCACACCAGTGGATAAATACTCTCTTCACACTGTCCTCATGTATACAAACATGATCACACCAGTGGATAAATACTCTCTTCACACTGTCCTCATGTATACAAACATGATCACACCAGTGGATAAATACTCTCTTCACACTTTCCTCATGTATACAAACATGATCACACCAGTAGATAAATACCCTCTTCACATTTTCCTCATGTATACAAACATGATCACACCAGTGGATAAATACCCTCTTCACATTGTGCTCATGTATACAAACATGATCACACCAGTGGATAAATACCCTCTTCACACTGTCCGCATGTATACAAACATGATCACACAAGTAGATAAATACTCTCTTCACACTGTCCGCATGTATACAAACATGATCACACCAGTGGATAAATACCCTCTTCACACTGTCCTCATGTATACAAACATGATCACACCAGTGGATAAATACTCTCTTCACACTGTGCTCATGTATACAAACATGATCACACCAGTGGATAAATACTCTCTTCACACTGTCCTCATGTATACAAACATGATCACACCAGTGGATAAATACTCTCTTCACACTTTCCTCATGTATACAAACATGATCACACCAGTGGATAAATACTCTCTTCACATTGTCCTCATGTATACAAACATGATCACACCAGTGGATAAATACCCTCTTCACACTGTCCTCATGTATACAAACATGATCACACCAGTGGATAAATACTCTCTTCACACTGTGCTCATGTATACAAACATGATCACACCAGTGGATAAATACCCTCTTCACTCTGTCCTCATGTATACAAACATGATCACACCAGTGGATAAATACTCTCTTCACACTGTGCTCATGTATACAAACATGATCACACCAGTGGATAAATACCCTCTTCACACTGTGCTCATGTATACAAACATGATCACACCAGTGGATAAATACTCTCTTCACACTTTCCTCATGTATACAAACATGATCACACCAGTGGATAAATACTCTCTTCACACTGTGCTCATGTATAAAAACATGTTTTCACACTGTCCTCAGGTACAAACATACTTTCTTCACCTTGTCCTCAGGTATACAAACATGATCACACAAGTGGATACATACTTTCTTCACATTGTCCTCATAGATTCGCAGTCTCAGCGGGTCTATGCTTGAGCCTAGCAGATCAAACAGCTCCTCATTGTAGAGTTCCAGAAAGGACACACGCACTGAGAATTCAATATCTTGCTGCAAATATTCACACAATGGCAAGTTTTAGAGAACCTAACACTGGACTCATTTGTCAACTTCAGACTGTAACGATGCAAAATTAGATACAAGCGTGTCTGATAGTAGTGCTTGGACTCCTGTACTTACATGTCTGATGTTAGTCTGGCCCCGGCATTTACATGTCTGATGTTAGTCTGGCCCCGGCATTTACGTGTCTGATGTTAGTCTGGCCCCGGCATTTACGTGTCTGATGTTAGTCTGGCCCCGGCATTTACGTGTCTGATGTTAGTCTGGCCCGGGCATTTATGTGTCTGATGTTAGTCTGGCCCCGGCATTTACTTGTCTGATGTTAGTCTGGCCCCGGCATTTACATGTCTGATGTTAGCGCTTGGAAACCTGCATTTACATGTCTGATGTTAGCGCTTGGAAACCTGTATTTACATGTCTGATGTAAGCGCTTGGAAACCTATATTTACATGTCTGATGTTACGCTTGGAAACCTGTATTTACATGTCTGATGTGAGCACTTGGAACCCTGTATTTACATGTCTGTTGTTAGCGCTTGGAACCCTGTATTAACATGTCTGATGTTAGCGCTTGGAAACCAGTATTTACATGTCTGAAGTTAGCGCTTGGAAACTTGTATTTACATGTCTGATGTTAGCGCTTGGAACCCTGTATTTACATGTCTGTTGTTAGCGCTTGGAACCCTGTATTAACATGTCTGATGTTAGCGCTTGGAACCCTGTATTTACATGTCTGATGTTAGCGCTTGGAACCCTGTATTTACATGTCTGATGTTAGCGCTTGGAACCCTGTATTTACATGTCTGTTGTTAGCGCTTGGAACCCTGTATTAACATGTCTGATGTTAGCGCTTGGAACCCTGTATTTACATGTCTGATGTTAGCGCTTGGAACCCTGTATTTACATGTCTGATGTTAGCGCTTGGAACCCTGTATTAACATGTCTGATGTTAGCGCTTGGAACCCTGTATTAACATGTCTGATGTTAGCGCTTGGAAACTTGTATTTACATGTCTGATGTTAGCGCTTGGAAACTTGTATTTACATGTCTGATGTTAGCGCTTGGAACCCTGTATTAACATGTCTGATGTTAGCGCTTGGAACCCTGTATTAACATGTCTGATGTTAGCGCTTGGAAACCAGTATTTACATGTCTGATGTTAGCGCTTGGAACCCTGTATTTACATGTCTGTTGTTAGCGCTTGAAACCCTGTATTAACATGTCTGATGTTAGCGCTTGGAACCCTGTATTAACATGTCTGATGTTAGTAAATTTTTTTAATGTCAGTGCAATAAAATGTTGGGGACATGGTTAGCGATGAACAAAATTAGCTAAATATGAGCAATTATTCAACAATTTTCCAAATATTTCAACATGAAAAGCAAATTAAAATGTGAATAAAGTGAAAAAAAATATGTTTTGTGTGTGTTTGTCACGTTACAATGAGCATTTGCGAATGCTTAATTATAAAAGCACCTCCAGTTAAAGTCTGTGCAACTTCCTTCATTGACTGGAGTTGAAACTGTTGCCAAAGCCATGTCTTTGTCTAGAATGTTGATAATCCTCAAATGTGGTATAGCTTGAAACAGGGTGCCAAAAATAGAAGTGTATTGCAATTTGGTCTGTACATGTAAGTCTTGCTTTTTTTTAGCTGCAGCCTTACACACTTTACAGTCTGGTCTGTACCTTGGCTTTCATATTTATTAAATAAAAAATGGTGATTAGTAAGTTGTGATGTGTGGTCTTGAAGATGTTACACTGTGCCAAAGAACAACAGGAGCTTATATTCTCATTTACTAGAGCAGTGTCAACTAAAAAAAAAAAAATAAATAATATGATTGCCAGTACCAATGATAGGATCTAGGTTGGCAGGGGTAATTTGTATCCAGCTGGCTAAAGTGATCCACACCCCCATACAGTTGTATTTTTCTGCAAGTACTGGTTTATTTTTTATTCCACCCTCAAAAATTCCACTTTTCCTAACTGTCTTGTCTATAAAAGCACTGAAGTAAACAGTAGATATCAGTTGAACTCTTTTAGTGCCACGCCACGTAATAGCCAATATGCCTTGTCTATAAAAGCACTGAAGTAAACAGTAGATATCAGTTGAACTCTTTTAGTGCCACGCCATGTAATAGCCAATATGCCTTGTCTATAAAAGCACTGAAGTAAACAGTAGATATCAGTTGAACTCTTTTAGTGCCACGCCATGTAATAGCCAATATGCCTTGTCTATAAAAGCACTGAAGTAAACAGTAGATATCAGTTGAACTCTTTTAGTGCCACACCATGTAATAGCCAATATGCCTTTAGCTTTTATCACATAAAAAAGGATGATCTGCCTTTTTCTTTTTCAATTGCTTTTTTCTTAAAAAAATCAACTGGTACACACCCAACTGCGTCTGACATGGCATCTTGTTGTTGTTCTTACGAGGATGATTGCCAAGCTTAACTAGGAGGATGATTGCCAAGCTTAACAAGTCCAATTTGAGCAGCATTTCGTCATTTACATTCAGCATTTTCACCTGTAAAAATGTTCTGATCTTTTGGGCCACGCCCACTTCTTTCTTCAGATGCAGCTATATCTACTCAGTCGTCAAGTCTTTCATCGCTGTCACTACTTTCAGTTGCAATATGACGATAACGTTCACAGGTCAATCTATACTTATCCAGGGATTACAATTTTCAGCGCTATATTCGCTAGCGGATCCCAAATAATCAATATCAGACATGATTTTTAAAAAAAGACTGAATATGCGCTGGTAATGAAAAATATCAAAATTTCACTGAAAACAACTCTTAAAGCGATATCGATCGTAGGCGCAGCAATCTTGGAACAATAAAAACACCTGCATGTAACTCAATTCAAAAACTTTCAGTAAGGATGTCGGTCAGCAGACCAAATGTCATGAATCTGACGATAGCCGAAGTTGGTCAGCAGAAGATATGGCTGGAAATTTGACGAAGTTGGTCAGCAAAGTGTTAAAGGTTCGGTTGCCTGCCACCTCTGCACAGAAAGAACTCAGTAGCTCCAGTGTTCAGTGCAACAAAACAGTGCTGCCTGAACAAGGACCTAAGATCTCAATAGCTCAAGGCAAATGACCAAATCATGAAATCACATGGAACCTCACAAACACAGACAGCATTACAGAGAGGGAAACAGCAAGGAACTGCTAGACAATACAAACAAAGACACACACACAGTGAGAGAGAGAACCTGTTTCTGAAGATCCTCAAAGATTTGGTGCAGGGTCCGTGGGATAATCCCAGACAAGGGGTCATCCTCCCAGGTCATGTTAGCTCCAGGACTTCTATCACCTTCCATGGTGAATGTCTTGCCTGTGCCTGTCTGACCATACCTGCAATAAATTATTCAGCAGTCAGGGACATGAAACTGGTACATGACAGTTGACTGTAGTCAGGGACATGAAGCTGGTACATGACAGTTGCCTGTAGTCAGGGACATGACAGTAGCCTGTAGTCAGGGACACAAAACTGGTACATGACAGTTGCCTGTAGTCAGGGACACGAAACTGGTACATGACAGTTGCCTATAGTCAGGGACATGACAGTAGCCTGTAGTCAGGGACACAAAACTGATACATGACAGTTGCCTGTAGTCAGGGACACGAAACTGGTACATGATAGTTGCCTATAGTCAGGGACATGACAGTAGCCTGTAGTCAGGGACACAAAACTGGTACATGACAGTTGCCTGTAGTCAGGGACACGAAACTGGTACATGATAGTTGCCTGTTGTCAGGGACATGAAACTGGTACATGACAGAAGCCTGTAGTCAGGGACACAAAACTGGTACATGACATCTGTCTGTAGTCATGGACATGAAGCTGGTACATGACAGTTGACTGTAGTCAGGGATATGAAACTGGTACATGGCATCTGTCTGTAGTCAGGGACATGAAAATGGTACATGACAGTTGCCTGTTGTCAGGGACATGAAACTGGTACATGACAGCCATACAAATTCTATGAAGGATCGAAGGTTCAACATAATCAATCTCTGTAAAGTGACAATTTCTCTGAAAAAAAAAAAAAACACACACAAAATCAAAAACATATGTCCTCAAGATTTAATGTTGCAACTCAGCGTTTTACTTGCTGTGAAAATAACTGAAGAAATATGGGTTTCGACCAAAACACAGGAGATGAAATTTACCAAGATCTGCTATGAAAAACAAAACCACAAGATATAAATTTAAATAGACCCACCTTTGAAGATAATAAAACTATTAAGATAATGTGAAGTCACAAGTGACAGGCTGTGCATAACTGCATTCAGATTACTTACTGGTGAAATGACCACAGAAAACACCACGCTGAACATTTCTTAGAGTTTCAAGCTTACTCAGATGAGAATTTGGGAACCTTTAACCAACGAGTGCCTACAATGACATTTCAAAAAGAAGGAATGAAGTACACTTCTTAGAACACTCACCGAAATAGAGTATTTGGATTAATTCTAGAGTGTCTAAGCCTAACAGCTATCATAATTTTCTTATTCATCAAAAGGAAAGACATAAACTGGACTAAGTTGAGGACTACATTCATGATGATCAAAACAAAACAGCGGTCAACCCCAGACAAGAGAACTGGCACTGTAATGGGACAATACCTAATTCCGAAACTGCGCAGGACACTCAAACTAAGGACATAAGAAAAACACAATATCTAGAACTACCAGTGAATTGAGTCACTGAATTATATACTGTGGACAAACACTATGTGTTAAAGAACCTCAGATGCTGAATATTATTTTGTTGCACAGAAGGATTTCGATATTGTGTGTTATTTTTTCCTGGAACTGGAAATTGAGTTTCCTAAAGTTACAGTTTTTGTACTATTCCAATATTCCTTATTGTTGAAAATTGTGGAGATCATGAATTGAATTGAAATGCGTGTCATTATATAAGTTTTTGTCTACAATGTGGTTTGAACTGACAAATAGTGTGTGCAGCACTTTGTAGAGGCAAAACTCTATTGAACCTCGGGTTTGACTTAAAGCAACGAGCACGCAAACACTGCAGATAGCAATGTGTAAAACGTTCCATATATTTATTTTCTTTACTTTTCCCCCTCCCATGATTCTGTTCTTTCTTTGCAGTGAAAGCATATTGTTAGATGTAATGAGCCACACGCCAGGATTATAGCCACACGCCTGGATTATAGCTGGAATCTGATAGGTTGTTGATTCTTGAACTTAACACTGATAATTGACATCATTGGATTACAAAAGTCAGAGAGACAAGTCTCATAATCATATTCGTTATGCTGCTAAATTTCTTGTCTGCAAGATTCTTTAGCATGAAAGAACTTGATCACCAAATCGTGGCTTAATGTCATGAAATTTGTACAGGACAGTTGTCTATAGTCAGGGATATGACAATTGCCTGAAGTCAGGTACACAATAGTTGCCTGTAGTCTATTTACCACTGACTGACAAACTACAACTGCCCATCTACCACTGACTAACAATCTACAGCTGTCCATCAACAACTGACTGACAATCTACAAAAAGACCATCTACTACTGAGCAACAATCTACAACTGTACAGCTACTATAGGTGACAAATATACTTACGCAAAAATAGTACAATTGTAGCCCATGAGCACCTCCTCCACCACGGGCATGACAACTGCCTTGTAGACATCAATCTGTAGGCAGTCGGGCGGGAAGACATGATCAAAGTTGTAAGTCTTGGTATAGGGGTGGATGCCTGCCCGCTCCTTCACTGTCACTTCTCGTTTGGCTTTGTCACACTTTAGGATAGAGCAGCTACCCTGCTTTTTCTCTATGCTGTTTATTGGCCTGCAGATAAGACAAGTCTGAAAGTCAAATTTTACATTCATCCTCCCTACATACATTTGTTTATATTCAAATAATGATAGAAACAACATACGGCACAATTAATTAAATATTTCATTGTATCTCAGTAGGTACACTATCAAATAACTTATTTCAACACACGGAAAAACAAAAATTAATCATGTTAAACTGAAATATATAAATCTTTTGCGTGCTGATTTAGGAGAGTTTAATAGTGTGTAAAGGAAGAGTGGTATGATAGTACTTTCCTGGAGTTCAAGGGGATATCCCGCGAACAGTGTCAACATTGACCCAAGTAGTGAGGGGGAGAAAATGTTGACCAGTGAGAAGTATAGTGTCACGAGAAAGTAGACGCCGGGGTTTACTGTGGGTGCTGACAAGCATCGCTAACGAGACGCCCAAAGAAAGTATGAATTACGTGACAACGTGATTCTCCTGTAACATCAGCCACCCACATAAGCGTGAGCATGATTCCAGAGAACGCCCACACGAGCGTGCCTATCGTGTAACATCAGCCGCCCGCATGGGTTCGGCAAAGATATATTGGGGCTGCGTAGTCAGTCAGAGTCCAAGGCAGAGAGAGAGACCCAAGTCAGAGTCAGTATCTCTCTAATGAGACAGTACCGTGCAACTATCAGGCAGCAAAGTCTGAGTAAGGTTTGTGGTTACGGTACGGGTCGAAGATATAGTCCCGCTGGCGAAGTAAGGCCAAGTGGACTTAATGCTCCAATAGTGACTGTTCTCGATGACGGCGCAGGGAGACGTGGGATCACCATGGAAACAGAACAGTAGAGATGCCGATGAGAGCTGTGTGCTAGAGGGAACTTGTATTAGAAGTCCTGTCAGTCTTCCTTCGATAGGCTGATGTGCTGTGGGCACATGCTGGAGGAAGATGCTGCATGCAAAACTCCTGCTGGTACAGTACAGTCTGAGGCATAAAATTGAGTAAATCTGCAATTTTTAAAAAATCTTTTCTGCTTCAAAATTTTTGCTATCCTCCGAATAACGGCCACATATTATGGCGGCCCAAAACAGGGCCTTAGTCACGTGTAAATTGCTGACTTCTGGCAACTACCGCCACGAGTATCTTCCACGCCGCTACGTGCAGTGTGGATTGGGACTAAACTAGATGGGTGGGATTCACGAGTAAAGCTGCAGGAGATGCAGAAGCACTGCTCATGAGTCCCAGCCATTTAGTTTAGCCCCAATACACGCGCAGCAGCGTGGAAGATACACTCGACAGTGGCGGTAGTCACCAGAAGTGCGCAATTTAAGTCGCCGTAAGTCCGCAATTTACATGTGACTGAGGCTCTATTAGGGTGTTTCTGTGGCCGCCATTCGATGGATAGCAAAAATTTGTTTCACTAACACAAGAAAGTTTGCACCTGACAACTGTTGATATCTGACTTTTAAATTACCTGTCTGTAGTTTTCCCAAAAGTAAGATTTCCACATTCAAAGTAGAAAAGTCAGTTGAAAAAAAAATTGACTACTGACTAGACACATACATCACAACACCACTGTCTCCCATGAATTTAAATTGCTGTTATCTAACACAGCAAAATTTGAAAATCTTGAAACTTCACAATATTCGCTTGTCAATTTGTAGTACAAATACATTCAGAACACAGAACTTTGTAGGCAAAATAAAATGTCACATAACGATACATGACCCTACAGGCTCTACACACTGATCAACCGCCTCTGTGCTAGAATGTGACGTCCTGAGCCTGTTGGCCTGTTAAAGCTGGAGCGGGCCGTGGTGACAACAACACAACATCAGCAAAAACACATCACAAGGTGAAGAACACAGTGCAAAGTAAACAACAATAACATGACATGATGAACATAAATTCATAAAATCACCAACACAGCATAACTATAACATCAACAAATTAACACAAGGTGAAAGGTGAACAACACAACATCAGCAAAAACACATCACAAGGTGAAGAACACAGTACAAAGTAAACAACAATAACATGACATGATGAACATAAATTCATAAAATCACCAACACAGCATAACTATAACATCAACAAATTAACACAAGGTGAAAGGTGAACAACACAACATCAGCAAAAACATATCACAAGGTGAACAACAACACAACACAAAATGAACAATACAATATCACAGCACAATGTGAACAACACAACATTTTTTTTTAAAACATACTACTACAACACAAAGTAAAAAACAAAACAACACTGGCAAAAAGCAATACAACTGAACACCACAACAAGACAACATTTAACATCACCAATAACACAACATCACAGCTTAAAGTGAACAACACAACATCCAAAAAAAAACATACATGACCAATAACTATAACACAAAAATGTAAACATTAAAATAAAAAACAATGTTGTCAACATCACCAAAAACACATCAAAATCAAAAAGAAGGTGAACACCAACACAACACAAAGTGAACAACAAACACATCAAAAAAACACATACTCAAACAAGTCAACAGAACATCATGTTTATATACATATATATGTCTCTGTGTGTCGTCCGTATATAGATAATAGTATATACTGTATATGGAATATACGGTTATTATATAATACCAGCCACATGTGTTCTGTTTTAGTTAACCCAGTAATAAATTAATAAAGTAGAAATAAAGATTTGCCTTTGCTATTGTGCTAATAATTTATTATTGCACACATTCTTTCAGTGAATATCTTAGCTCGCTTAGTTAGTGACTTACCGACATCGGACAGCAACATTTATATTTTGATTCTTCTCTTTAACCTCCAGCTTGACTTGTTTGGTAGTCATTATTAGCAAACATATAATAAAACAACAAACGCTGGTAGCTAAAGAAAATCTCCGTAAGAAACAAATCAAAAACAGCGCCGGGTCCCTGCTCGACGATCGCCTGCTTCAACTTTCAAACCTCAGCCTCGCTTTGGTCCCGGCCAATCAGACGGCTGAAAGTTTCCAGACTTCGTTTTAGCCAAATTACTACCCAAAATACACCAGAGAAAGAGACAAATAAAATGTAAAACAATGTACTCACTACATATTAAAGGGTCTAGATTTAATTCCTGACTGTCATCCTCACTGAAACAAATGGAAGATACAACGTAAACCTTTTCAGATGTAAAAATCTTCAAGGATTTTCTCAGATGATGTGAAGTTTTGCAACATTTATTTGATATCAATACTTCTGCTCTATTTCTCACAACTGCATCAAGAAAATATAACTGTATTTTGTTTCTTTCTTTGTATGTAACTGAAATAACAAGAAAGAATACTTTCTCAACTACAGAATTGCTGACGCATTATTAAGCAGCCAAGGGCAAAAATGGCCAACTCTTTAACTATACAAAACTCTTCATTGTTTGTAGGTAGTCCACCCTTCATAAATGTAGCTTTTTCTTTCCAATAGACAACAGTGACTTGTCTTTACTGTTCTGTTATAACACTGATGCTGTTTTCTGCCAGGTGTAAAAATGGTAGCTCTAAAATCTGTGTCCTTGGTCATCATTATTATCATCAGGTGCCGTGCCGACTGGCGTGGGCGATCATGCATCTCCATAATCCACGATCTCCTGCAGCATGTATCACTTCGTATGCCGACACACCTCCATGCCATGCAACAAGACTGTCAAGAATCTTCTCTCGTTGTCTCCCTCTATTCCTCCTTCCACAGATCTTTCTAGTGGTCACAATATGTTCGATTTTCCCTCTTTTCATAACATGGCCGAAAAATGACGACTGTCTCCTTCTGATGTCTGTGATAAGTTGTCTTCGGGCTCCCGCCTCTTTCAAAACCTCTTGGTTGCTCTTTCTGGTTGTCCAAAATACTTGTGTCCTTGATACTTGATTTTAAACTGCCACAGGTTCAATTTTGACATATTTTTAAATATATATATTCTCGGTGGGAAGTCTATAGGTAATTTGATTGGGAGCGTCTTCTAGCACAGACATTCGTCCTTTAAATTTTTTTTTTTTTTTTTTTTTTTTTTTTTTTTTGTATTTTTAACTGAGCTTCAGCTCCGTTATTCTTTTGTGGTAACGCATTCTTAATACCAAAGTCAACGTGAGCAATATTTTTCTTAGCTCATTGACATCATTCAGTCTGTTTTTAAGACGTTTCTGGTGCATGTACAATTCTTGGTGTACGTATCTTGAAAAAGTGTTCAATACTGCAAATTCTTGTACAACTGGTGTCGCAAACACATAGTACAAATAATTATTGTGGTCTAACAGCGTTTCCTTTAATTACCTTACTTTATATTTTGTGTCAAACGTTGTCTGGACTAAATTCAGCACATACGAAATAGGCTTTCAACTCTTCCCAGTTCACCAACATATTAAACATAATCTTTCCACAAACAAGCCACCTAGTAGATGAAAGTTTTTCAAATGGAAGAGGAGCAGTTTGTCTAGATTCAAACTCTGTAAATGTGTTCACCACTCTAAAAACAAAATTCTTTATATGCTTGTCGTTTTAAATCACTATGGCAAAACCACTGAGTTATTTCTGAGAGTAAGAAACCAATATTTGATAGGAGCTTGGCAACTGCCTTACAAAGAAGAGTGCTAGTGAATGGCAAATACATTTGAGCTGTACACAAAAAGAAGACACATCTTTAATTCTAGACCATACAGAGTTCTTGCACCCGACAATGTTTGAAGCGCCATCTGATGCAAACTCACTGTTCCGTCAGTGTGTATTCTGTAGTATTGAAGTGGCATACATTTTCCGTCAATATATATTCTATGGAGCTGATGTGACACAACATGTTCCGTCGGTATATTTTCTATAGGGCTGATGTGACATACATGTTTAGTCGATATATGTTCTATAGAGCCGATGTGACATACATGTTTCGTCGATATATGTTCTATAGAGCTGATCTGATATAAATGCTGTGTCGGTATATGTTCTATAGAGCTGATGGGACATACATGTTCCGTCAATATATATTCTATAGAGCTGATGTGACATACATGTTTCGTCATATGTTCTATAGAGCTGATATGATATAAATGTTCTGTTGGTATATGTTTTATAGAGCTGATGTGACATACATGTTCCGTCGGTATATGTTCTTCTTCTTGTTTGTTCACCGTCTGTAAGCTCCAGCGGAAAGTCCTGGTTGTTCCTCCATTTGGACTTAGGCTTTGTGTCAGGGCCTGAGTTTTGCGTGAACATCCGTTTTACTGACTTTTTTGTGTACAGCGGATTGTTCCTTGCCTCTCGGACAGACGCACTCCGTCGGTAGTTCCCAGTTAGTCATCTCCTACGACATGCTTGCTGGGAAGGCAGTGTATCTATTCTTGTTTCCCCCTATAATGAGGCCCCTGCGTTCTATAGAAGAGCTAATGTGACATACATGTACCATCGGTATATGTTCTAAAGAGCTGGTGTGACATAATGTTTCGTCGGTATGTGTTCTATAGAGCCGATGTCTTCTTCTTCTTCTTGTTCACCGGCTGTGAATTCCGGCGGTAAGTCACGGTTGTTCGTCCAAAATGGACTTTTGGCTTTTACCTTGACCTGAGTTTTGCGTGTACATCCGTTTTACTGGCTTATTTGTTTGCAGTACTCGTTCCCCGCCTCTCCGGCAGATGTACTCCGACTTCGGAGGAAGACGTCAAGCCTATTTCTAGGTTGACTGTGGCCATTGTTTTGTGTGGGTCGAGATGTTGCCTTATTTGTGTGGTGTCCTCTTTGACTTTTAACAAGTGTGGCCCCCGGCATGTCGTCCTTAAGGCAGCTCTATGTAGAGTTTTCAGCCCTCAAGGGAAGGCAGGGGCAGATCATGGGCATTCCCCGCCATCCAAGGAGGCTTCCATAAATGCAGGGCCGACACATGATGCTCTGGTTCTGGGCTCACCCAAGGAATCGTCACGTCCTGCCCATGACTGCTTAACCTCACAACCGTGTATTGAGCTTCCCGCGCTACCAGGCTGCGCTCTCCGGAGATCAGCGGGGAGTAGCCCGCAGGTCTAGGACGTTTGTGGCCACACAAATAGGTACATTCTTTTTCATCTTACGTTAGACACCTTTAAAGTTGTTTCAGCTGTGCCCTTAGCACGACAGAATGGGGAAGCAAAATGCGTCAGGCGTGGCTTTACCTGTTTGGTCCCAACACTCGGGCGAGTTGGACCAGTGGATACGGACATTCAGACTTTTCCTAATCGGTACGAGTTATGATCGTCGGACTTTGAGCTTGCATGTGTGCCGTGGGGTGTAACTTTGTCGGACATTGTTTTCAAGCCAGCATATGAATAGTTGCTGCCATGGTGTACCTCAGCGCGGTGACGACGACACTGAGGATTGACAGAGGATGTACGTAGGTAGGATCTTGCTGCGAGAAGTTGCCCACAAGAGATGTTACTCGTCTTGGCTGCGGGTAAATCTCTCGGTCATGGTTGAGTCTCAGCAGCACAGTTTTCCATTCGCTCCAGAATTTTAACCAAGAGTTGTCATTTGATGGTGCATTTAGCAAGCAGTCCTTGAGTTTTGTTACTTTTCACCCATGCGTTTGGGGGCGGGCTGGTGAGAGCCAGAAAGGACTCTACACCTCTGGGGGCCGCCAGCTCCGAGATCCCCTGCCAACTCTGTTAATGCTAATTTGAGACATTATCCGTGGCGCACGACGGGGACGTGCAACAGGAGTCTTGCATGAGGTTCCGTAAAACCAGAACAGTGAAGGACTGGCGTCCGAGTGGGGTACGGAATATCTCCTTATACACATCACATCAGACTTAACTTCCCCTCATGCCTGTGACCGAAATCACCGCGCCACTAGAGCCGATGTGACATACATGTTTCGTCGGTATGTCCTTTTTGACGCAAAATTTAATTTCGTAACGCTGTTCGATTGAACGTTCCATTTTTTTCCACGACACGACACTCGTAGAGAGATTCACTATTTCGACGATCCGCCCGCTCCAACTGCTTGTCGAAAACTGCCACAGGTTCAAATTTGACAGATTTTAAAATATACGTTCTTGGTTGGAATTCTACATGTAATTTGATCGGGAGCTTCCCCCATAACTGCTACGTCCACATCTTCAGCAGCAAGCGAAGGTTTCCCATTCCGATGGCACAAGTGATTGTATATCCGTGTCGCCTTTCCATTGTAATTCCTCGCAGCGCCATTCTCCCCAGACCGCAATGATCTATTTGTGCCTCCGCTGTTCAGTCGCTCCCAAAAGAGCCCTCATAAAATCCAGCCCGTCATATATCAATTCACCACCAAGCAGTGCAGAACCCCTCTTTGATATGGTGAGCATTCCAAGTCCATAATCTATCACCGACACTATCACAGGCTAGAACATTGTGAACAACATTCTTTGTTCCATGTCCATTGCTGCCATAATCTTAAAAGCACTGAGTCCTTTTTGGCATTTCACCGGAACTGCATCTATATGATCTCTGAAAGTCATGCTTCTATCGAAAGTAAAACCCAGCTACCTAGGTTTGCTTTTTCTTTTATTGTAATTAATTGTGATAAAGCTTGGAACATTAGCTCTTAGAATTATATTGCCAAGAGAGCACCACAAAACAGCTACATTTTCTGAATTGATAACAGCACCCATTTCTACACATCAGTTAATCACTTTGTCTACAATTGTCTGTAGCTCTTGGGCTATCCGATGCCAGTCACCCCGTCTATATGCAAGAACATTATCGGCAAATTTTAATATCCTTCCAACACCTGGTGCTTCAAGTTCTGCAATTTTGCTTGTATAAACACTGGGTAATATTACATGGTTCTGAGGACCATGTACGCTGGCGAAGGGCAACCATCCGCGAA